TAAAACACAACTCTTCCAACAAATCGGGAGTTTTTGTTTTCCGGCTGTGTACAAAGTGGGACAGCGCACTGTGTTCGACTGAGCAGCCAAGTTCGCTTGGAAAAAAAAAATTAATTAGCATAGGTTTGAGAATCATGATATATCAATATTTTGTAGTTTATAGGGAATTTGCATCGTCAAGTAGTGATGAATTTATTTATTTTGTTTATTTTAACATTACACTTTTTGGGCACTCGTGGTGGTCTGGCACTCGGGCTTGCTTTGGAAACTGAGGAACATCCTCCCTCTTACGTACTATCTCATACTGAGATCTTATCTGACGGATCGATTTCGACTGAATTCTCACCTTATGTACGCATAAGGGCAGGTGTTCCTCAGGGAAGCATACTTGGCCCTTTTCTATTTTCCATATACACTGCAGATATTCCTACAAACGTTAACATTTCGACACACACATTCGCTGATGATACAGCGATTCTTACACGCAATTCGGACCCCTCAATTAACACTCAACACTTACTACAACACCCGAATGAATTACCAATTCACAAAGTGGAGAATAAAGGTAAACCTAACAAAAAGCACACAGATCAATTTTACCTTACGTAAAAATGTCTGTCCTGCGGTGAGTATAAATGGAATTCCATTGCCTACCACTGACCTTGCGCGTTATCTTGGACTTTTCATGGATAAACGACTGACTTGGAATCCCCATACAAGACTGAAAAGACAGCAAACAAACCGATGTTATAAATTGTTAAAAAGACAACTCGACTCACGATCAAAATTAGACTTTGAAAATAAACTTTTATTTATAAGACAATGATTAACCTCTCTGGGCGTACGGTTGTGAAGTGTGGGGCTCAACCAAGGATTCCAATTTCCAGCGTCTCCAATCAATCAAATATAAAATTCTCCGTCAAATTATAAATGCTCCTTTTTACGATTCAAATTACACTATCCATAAAGACCTACACATCCCGTTTGTACACGAACTCATCAAAACCCGATATAAAAAATTTCATCAATCACCGAACACACACAGTAATCTATTCGTACGAAATTTATCACTTCCAACCCTACCTGAAAATCTTCCAAGACGATTGAAGCGAAAGTGGCCCTGAGACCTTCTCATTGTGTGAAGACTGAACAAGATATCAGTGTGAAGGAGTATTACCACTGGACAACTTCTCCTACAAGAGCCTCAAATGATAATTCAACATATACGAACATATTTACTTAATACATCACTCGTAGTTGTAAGTACCAAATAAATATAATAAAAAAAACACTTTTTGGACAAGATTTCCATGATTCAACCATGGTTATTGGAATCCGAATACACTTAAGGGATCTTCATGCGGAAAAAGGATTGCAGTATCGTCAGTAATGGAGAGGATTTTTCTGATAGTCTAGGAATATCAGTAGTATATATCGTGCAAAAAGTAGGTTTAAAGGTGGGCCATTCACGATCGCTCCTAGCAGTCCAAACGGAGCGACGCCGTTCCAAAAACCACGTCTATGGCAAAACTGAACTGGCTGCCCGGCTGTGCCGAATATTCGACCGGCTCAAACACCATCGCGCCACTCCAAATATCTACGGCGCGACGACGGCATGGCGCGTTCGTGAATGAGAAAACCTGGCGTGGAGGGTGAGGATTTTGGCGCAGTCTCCGTCGTACATTCTCAAAAAGTCAAAAACGTTTATTCTTTATTGGTAATGACATCCAATCGAGATGTTATTGTTGAGGTGATTGAATTGTAGGAAAGTTTACCATGTTTATGAAAATGGTGGACAATGATTATATTACCGCGATAGAAATAAAAGAAATTCGATCCTCAACCAGTTGGTCGACGTTTTCAAAACAAAGGATACAAATGCAATGAGAGATGCGTTATTAATAACTCCTAAGCGCTGAGCAGAAATCGTAGTAGAGAAATTTAAGTTCTTTGTAGTTCATCCCTGTAGCGAGAAATAGTAATGTAACGATGAACAAGATTATCGACCTGCTGGAAACATGAAGTCTTTTCGGAGGATCTACGGTTTGACCTCTTCCGTAGATCCTCCGAAAAGACTTCAGAAATAGTAATGTTGTTGCCAACCTTTCGTGCAGTGATGATTTCTCTCATGACTGTCTTTTGTTTTCTAATCAAGGGGGTAACAAGCTGGAGTAAATATAGATAAGACGTTAATCTTTTTTTTGTAAGGTTTTGGTTGAAATGAAAAAAATAGTGTCACGGGGGGATGCGAATCCACGACATTCGGCTAAATACGCCGCTGGGCTAACCACTTGAGCTATCGTGACTTCGATAATTCGATCCACTCGGGCACCAACTCCCCATCTCAACCTACAACCTTTCGAATTTTCTCTCTTTTTGCGATTTTTTGGTATCCGAGAGGTGCGAAGTCACGATAGCTCAAGTGGTACAGCAGCGGCGTATTTATCCGAAGGCCATGGATTCAGATCTCGCTCGTGGCACTAGCTTTTTCATTTCAATTAAAGCCTTACAAAAAATATTAATTAATTGAAATAAGTAATTTGGTCAATAGAACACTAAATATAATGAATAAATAAGACGTCTCATCCATCCTTAAATAGTTCCTCCAATCAGCGGGTTCAAGGGAAAGATCTTTCATCAAATTGATGTGGGTATTACGGCTTCTGTTCAGGAGCCACTTTTTACACCATTTCCTCTTCGATTTTTTGCTTTTTATATTTTTATACATAAACAAACAGCAGCGTAGCACAAGAGATCGTCATCCCTTTTGAGGAAGTAATTCACTAGGTGACGATCGGAACGACTGGCTGTGGAGGGGTCGTGAATGCCCCCTCAAATTTCAGGCATTCCAAATGGAGCTGTACGGCGTGGCGCGGTTCCATTTGGAGTGATCGTGAATGGCCACCTTCATAATGCTTCCTTGTGGGACTACAACTTGTATAGGACAGATATAAGAGGTGTTCTCTGTTTAATTCTAAACTAACAGTCAGACAGGTATGCTTAATATTAAGTAGTAGTTGTTGGATAAAAAGCATATCAGCTAGTACAGTTCGAGATGGCGAACCCTAAACCTAGGACCTAAATCGAAACAGATGACTCCGAATAATTGGGATTTAATGATGGGGTACAGCCTAGGTTGCTTCAAGAATGTCATTCATTACGTCAGTGAGACAGATAGGAGATAAACAGGGTAAGAGCATGAAGAAATATTAATAGATTATTTGGAGATCGTGAGATGCGGTCTGATGTGACGTAAGTTTTAGAAAAACTTTTCCTTATCATGTCAACGTTTCGGTCTTTATTGAGATCATCTTCAGGGCTCAAAGTGTTTGTTTTCCGTGTAGATGTGTCTTGTGTGTCGTGTTGAGTGCCATCTCGATAAAGATCGAAAAGTAGGCATGATAAAGAAAATGTTTTTCTATAACCTACATCACACTAGACTGCACCTCACTATCTCCAAATAACCTTTGCTAACGGTCACTAAACACCACACAAAAATATTAATAGGTTTGATTGGTTTATACGCAAGAGCTGTGTATATCGTGTAAAGGAGAAGCCCGACAATTTTTGTTTGTATAACGCCTACTTCGATAGTAAAGACAGTGGATATCGCTGTGCCCTGTCTAAACTTTGAAATAACGGTCAGACAAGTACGTTATAAACATAAGATAGTGAATGTAGTATGCCCTTCAGATTCTACAGCCAAGTCTTGAGCAACGTCAAGGACTACACCCGGACAACTCTGCTGCTACTCAAAGGAAAATATGAAATGACTTCTACAACCGATGGCATTGATGGAATCTGGAGTTTAGAGACCTTAGTCTAAATTGGTGACTCAGCATCTTGGGATTCATTCTTGGGGTACAGCAGTTTTAATAGGAACTTCTCTAGTATTTTACTTGTTATAGGAAGTATCTGATAGGGTGGAACGATAACGGAAGATTGACAGGTTTTGTTGGCTTATATAGAAGAATGAATGATAGCGGTAAAAAAAAAGCATGGAAGTATTGTCAACATTTAAACCGCCTGGCAACATGAGGATACTAAACCTGCACGACTTAGACGTCGGCAGTGTTTAGCCTAAACCCACTTCCATTATCGTTGAAATTGATAAAATACTATAATATTTCTTAAATTAATTAACAGATAAAAAGAAAAAATATTGTAACATAGTGGCTATTTTATTTATGTTCATCTTTTATTTTTAATGTGTAGTCATTAGTGACCATTAGTCGATGATTATTCGGAAATCGTGAGATGCGGTCTGATGTGATGTAGGTTTCAGAAAAACATCTTTATCGTGCCAACGTTTCGGTCTTTATTGAGATCATCTTCAGGGCCTAGGATTTACAAACATTGTTTAAATTTAACAAATACATGTAGGATGGTGAAAAAAGTGAATTTATACAATGCAAAAAAATATTTTTTTATATTCACTCAAAATATCAATTTATTTTTAACTACAGTCAAATCATATTTTTATGAACAAATTTGTTACTTTCTTTTAATCAATAATCCATTCAAGATCAATAATAAATATTTTATTTTACTGTTTCCAGGAAAATAAATCTATAGTGTTGTCGGTTTAGAAAAACGCTGAGAATTAAAAAACAAATTTATTTTGAAAATAGAATTTTCTATGAACTAGATTATCTGCTGGATACAAGAAGTCTTTTCAGAGGATCTTCGGAAGATCCTCTGAAAAGACTTATAGAATTTTCTGTTAAAAATAAAATAAAGTATAACTGTTTTCTTGTTTCATTGTATGGAACAGGGTAAACAAATACAAAATGTTTACATTTTTTCCAGTTTTTTTTTAATCTTAAATTTTTACTTGGCTAAATTAGTTAAATTTTTAACAAACTACTAACTTGAAGGCTACTTTCTCTTGTGAATAATTTATGTTCTACATACAGTTTTATTCTTTTTTTAATATACATTAGGAAATAAATTATGGAAAAAATAGAGCATGCCCAACAGCATGTAATATTGGTGCCTCAGTGCAGCCTCAATTTGTTTATACTTTTTGATCGTTTGTTTTAATATACGATCCCACACTTACAAACGTAAATAATCGATACTAGATTGTGCGTTACGCGATGAATTAAACTTACATAACGAGAAAAGATAATGAAAAAGGGCGGATTTGATCCAATAAAACGGTGCGACGGAATCGATATTCCCGAGCATGGCCGTTGGGCCGTTGTCGGGCACCTGTTAGTGGCATGGAGTATGCAAGCAAAATACGCCTCGTCCTTCTGGTCCTAGCCTGCACCCTCGTCTTCTACTACGTCCTGCCCGGGACAGGGGACGTCTTAGACGCGGCCCGGGACGAGGTCGACGAAGTGAGGGCGCTGCCGGACCTTTGCAGAATGACGACGGCCTTCCGGGCCTGCACCAGCGCCTACGGGCTTCTCACCCTGCTCAGGGACAACTGCGGGTCTGGAAGAATAGAAGAAAAGACGGACAAAGTGGTCGTTGAGCCGATTGGGGAAGTAACAGAAGAAAATCACAAGGAGGAAATTATACAGACGGTAGAGAATGAAGGAGAAAAAAATGAAATAAAGGTTGAGAAAAAGAGCAATCTCATTTATGAAGTCATCATCGTGTTACTCCTCGTTTCTGTCACTCTGAGTTTAGCCGACTGCTTTCAAGAAAGAAAAAGAAGAAGACAAATGAGAAGTTCAAATTCAGTAAGTGCTAAATATTTACCATTATTAAATTATCCCATATTATGTAAAAATTTAAAAACTCTGCTAATTTTGTACACATACAATAAAATGCGTGATAAAACAGTGAACACATTTTTAGTGAGATTACAGACTAAATTGGATAATCCAAGCAGGTTCGGGAGACATCATTATTGCCTTAATAGTGCATTTCCATCGTTAAACCTTTTATCAGATAAGAGATTCTTTGATATGATAGCCCTATAATATTGATATTTCCTTTTTCAACATGTTGTCCAATAATAACACTGGATAATAATCGATAATAATGGATATAGAATAATGGATAAATATATAGATCTCGCAGACCTCAACAATCACCCAAGTTTTATGATTTCTAGTTCAAAAAGAATTTCGTCTTGTCTTATTTGATTGCTTCAGTATTACTGTAATTTTAAGCCAGTAGAAAAAAGTAAAAATGCATGACAAGTTAAAAGTTTTAACAGGTTGTAATGATCGCCTAATGTTGAATTAATATGTACTACAATAAAATTAAGTTGAGGTCTACGGGATGATGGCCGTGTCGTTTGTTAATTTATGCCATAATGATCTAAAAAGACCAACAAACTAAATATTTTGTAGAATATTTATAAATTGATATGCTTGTTGTACGATCATTTTGTACTTATCTAATATATATCATGAATTTATCTTTTTCAATTGATAATCATCGCATGGAATTTATTTGTACCAGCAGAACGGCCTCCATAACAGCCAAGAACAAACATCTCGAAGTATTTTTAACCAAACGGTTTCAGAACGGTCCCGACATGATGACGATGCGCGGTTCAAGGCTGGAAATGTGTAGCAGGAGGATGTCACTGGCGGACCTCACGATGTCCCGTCACGCGAGGAGGGAGTCGCAGGCCAGTTACAGGCCACCAGGTAAGTTAAGGTCAGTGTCGCCTTTTCTTCCACTTCTCTGCACTTTTCCCGTCCACTTCCACTGTTGTTTTTGTTTTTTTTCGACTTGAATTATATGGGGAACTAATTTTTAAAACGATTTTTGATACAAAAGTCATCATTTTTTATTGTAAAAGTTCAAGATTAATTCGATGTTGTAAAGTATCAACGGTGAAAGGGAGTGTCGACTTTCTACTTGAGTGGATTCACAATAATGGTGACACCAAGATTCACATAAATCATACAAGAGGATTTAAGCCTCAGAGAGGAATTTTCATTGTAATGACTATGATGATAGTCTATTCAAGATTGTCACTCTGGTCTTAAGCTCAGATTTATTGCCTATTACCTCCTTGAGCTTGTAGACGAACCACTTTGGTAGAAGGTTGTCCTCGAGCAAAACATTGATGAGTTGTTTTTTTCTAAAAGAAAAATTGTGTTTTTTGCTTGACTATCAATCTTTTTTTAATTAAATAATAGCATGTAATTTTAAAATTAAGTTTTAGAGGTGAACTTGCTTCATTTTAATACGAAAAATCCCTGAAAGACGTGAGGTGGATTCAGCTTGGAGCTTTTGGCAAACATTTATCTATGATTTATGATTATTACTGCCCAGGAGTACAGGATGTTTCTAAAAACATCACCAGTTTCGATTCCGGACCTCGGCCCGTATTTCCCAGGGCGACCGTTTCTTCCTGGACAAAGGAGCAAATCGTAAAACCACGGACATTTCCAATTTGTCCGGGCGAGGTGGAAGTGGATTTGTTTCTTTTATGTACCTCCGTATAGCATGTTTAAAATCTTTTCGCTACCGCTTTTTCTTTCTTGATTCACGTCCCTCTCTTTTTTATACTTTTCAAAATAATCTATAAACTGTAATAATCTCCGATATTAAGCTGTCAAATTTGAAACAATTTACTGATTCCTAGTAGGAACATTTTTCCATATTTTTATGAGCATTACACACACATTTTCATATAGTTATTGAATTTCTCAATTAAAACTCTTTTCTATTATTGCACTGTAATATGTTTTGGCACATGTGAATCTTTTTAAAATAGATTTTGTTTGCCTTTTTATTTTCAACGTTTAATTTTTTGTGTTGTTTCAAAGCCTAAATTTCAGATGAAATCGTGGTGTGTTGCCACCTTTGTCAGTTTAGTGTTTTTTAGTGTACAATTGCATCTTTTCTCGAGAATAAGGACTAATGTCTTTCTTAATGTGGAACGGGCTTTCAATTAGGATTTAACCTTTACACACTTCTTAAATTCTTAAATCATATTGGCCTGATAGATACTATACAGTTTGGGTTGGATACTCTTCCTCTCCTTTGCAAAGGGTATCGTCCTAGCTGTCTGCTGTTACTCATAATATACACTGCCAAAATCCCTTCTCAATCTGACTCTACGATTCTCGCTTTTTCTGAGACTCAGCCATATTATCATCCAATCCCCATCTCGTTTTATTGACCAGTGTATGCTGTAGCGTTTGTAGATGTAGATATAATTGCAGGGTATAGTATACTGCGTTCTTTAAGAGCTACTGTATCCCCCGTTCTCTGCCTGAAGCACATCGGTGAGTCCTATTTCATCAAGAAACTTGATTAATAGGCCCGGCTTTAGTGGTTGAAGCTCTTCTGTGGTCACATTATACATCCCAAAACATTTCCTCCTGCGGGCTAATGTAGCTCCGCAGTGTGTTAGTAAATGTGTTGGTGTCTCTTCTGCCTCTTTGCAGAATCTGCATGTGCCATCTTGGATTGTTCCAATTTTCTTTGGGTGTCCATTTAATCTACAGTGTCCTGTTTGGATTCGCAGTCTGTTCCTGCTTCCTTTGACACATACTGTGATTTCTTTCTTGCTAAAATTGGTTAGAAGATTCTTGGATTGTCTATATCCAATGAGTGAATTCCAATGTTCCTTCATTTTCTTTTTGTCCTTCTGTCTGAGATATTCGTTAATAGTGTGGATTACTATTCCACAGAAGGGTTCGGGTCTTATTTGCTGTGGCACTTAGGGGGTCAGGTGTTGTTTTGTAGCTACTGAGCAACATCCGCTCATAGTTCATTGGCTACTACAGCAGTGCTTACACCTAGTGGAAACATAGACAACCACAGGCACTCTATAGTGGCGACTGTCAAAGACCGTTGTTGAAGTAGTGGTGAAAACTAGAAGAAACCACAGGCAGTCACAACTTAGTTCTTACCATCGACGTCGACCACTAAATGTTACCAATCGACTGGCTGTATGTTCCCCCAGTCATCACAATTGCTCGCAGGAACATAATCACCACGAAGTCACCACTTTATAGACCGGGATTATGTAGTGGTGATGGAATAGTGAGGTACGGGCGGAGCAACTCGCATATTTTCTTCGTGTTATGGAAAAACAGAATCGTAGATACGTAGGCTAAACCGCCCCAACCCTATCCTTCACTGCAACTATACCTATTCCGTCCATCACCGTCACTCTAACCCTAACCTAACCTATCCCATCCTTAATCCTAACCATAACTCAATCATACCTAACTAACCCGTCGCTATCTTAAACCTAACTCAACTTTAATCCTAAGCCTGAAATCTACCTAACCCAACGCTGGCACTCACTAACTTAACCAAATTCATGTGCATTTCTCGGTAATACGAAATTTATGACAATAAAATGGTCACACAAAAAAATAATAAACAGCCCAAATGATAAAATATTTATTTTAAACAAATGATGTTCAAAGAGAACTTGTATTCAAAACAACCTAATCCTTCTGCAATTTTGGCCTAAAAACAACACAATAAATCTTCTCAAAATAACATTTTTTACTTTGTATGAAATTCATATTGTTACTAATCAAAAAATAATAAATATATGCAATAATCTTTTATATATCAACTAATATTAAAAGAAAAAATATCAAATTTTTGATAACCTTGAGGATCTTTTTTTCTTATGAATATTGAATAAAACTACACACATTTTGTTTATATTTATTAAATATTAGAACAAGGTACCTGGTGATGTCATTGAACAAATATCCATGTTGTATTTTTAAAAAAATATATATTTTGTTATATTTATACATTTCTTTTTATAGCCGGCCAAAACAGGTTAACTTTGGGCCGCCGTAGTTCTAGTTACGAAATGTCGCAGAACAAAAATCAGGTTAAGAGACAGACTTCCTGCCCCCAACCTTTTCTCAAGAGGCTCTCCACGGTCGACCTCAACCAGGACTTACCTGAAGACGGAGGATGGGCAGAACGAAGAAGGGTCAGAATGATACAGCGACATTAAAACTGCGCTTTGGGTCTCAAAATTCACTCTCGATTAAACCGATTAAATATATTTATTTCATTCTTCAATTAACACGCCATTAGGGGCAATGACTTATAAATCTCTAAGCATTATCCTTGTTAAGTCTATTTAGAGAGAAATTGAAGGATTGAAAAATTATCAAATTAAAAAAATTTGAGAGTGAATTGTGAGTCATGTTCCAAATTAGGAGACAATTTCAGAAAACTTTAAACGTTTTGCCACAAAAGTATTTATCGAACTTGAAGGCTTTAAATATTTCTACAGAGGACTTGTTTTGTAGAAATTTTAAAATTTATTCACACTATTTTATCAATAAATGCACAAATCTTTTTCAAAGACACATTTCTGGCCTAGAAACAAATCAAGGCACTATTCTATTTTTATCAATTAAATGAAATCTATTTTGATTAAAAAAAGTAAAACTTAGAGGACATCTTTGTGCCAAAACAAGTGTTAAACGCTGGTCTTTTTGTCGCTCACGGTTTAAAAGGAAAGGAATATTTTTGTCGACGAATTTATTGAATTGAGCTTGGTTGATATTTTAGGGACCAGTTTTAACCTGTAGTGCTTAGCGTTAGTGGATACAGTGAATATATTTTCAATTGTTCAATTGTTATCATAAAGTTAATTGATACTAAATTCTGTGATTAACTTACAACTTAATAAATACATTGTAAAAGCAAATTTTTTATTATTACTTCCATTAACCATCAAAACATCTTTAGATTTGTATATTTATATTACAACTATTAAAATAGTTGTGTCAAAATGTAAAACATCACTTAAAAGTCTTCCTACTCAAAATTGTCTTAGGATCAACATTGGAAGCTTGAAATCAACGCCTATATATATGCTTCAAGCTACATACAATAAGCCTCCACTAGATCAGAAAAGAAATGTGCTGACTTCTTATTTTTTGTTAAATTAATTTCTAAAAATATCTACATAAGAAAAATGTTCAGCGAACATCTAAAATACTGATATTAAGTATTGGGGACAAAAAAAGAGCCTGCCTTTTATTTATTTATTTGTTCATTACATTTATTTTATATTTACAACTACAAATATTGAATCATGTTCACTCAATGTTCCTGGCCACTTTCGCTTAAATTGTCTTGGTGGATTTTCAGGTGGTTTCTTTTTTTTTTTGGCCTTATGATCTTTGCATATTAGCCATGACGAATCTCTTATATATGTTGTTCAAATTGGGGGTTATCGGGAAAAAGGGCCAGAGGCGACGATGGGAATCGAACCCACGACCGCGGCGTGAGAGTCTCTCATGCTAACCACTCGGCTACAGCGGTCCCCCCGCAGGCGGGGTTGGAAGTGATAAATAAGGTACTAATAAATTAAATAAAACAGAACAAATGTTATAACCTGAAGACTCAAACAAGGTCTTCTAACTTTGAAGTTACTCCAAAGTTTTTGAAGGAGCTATCCCTTGGAGGACAAATAGTGATAAAGATCTTTGTTGAACAGTATGGTTTAGTTAATTAAGGTTTTTAGTTGAGATAAAAACGTCAGTGTCACGAGCGGGATTCGAACCCACGGACCTTCGGCTAAATACGCCGCTACTCGACCGTAGCGATTCGATCCACTGGGGCACTAACTTCTCATCTCAACCCCACCTTTTGAATTTTCCCTCCTTTTTGCCATTTTTCAAATGTCGTGTAATCTATTTGATTCTCGGCAACAAATGAAATGGTGGAGAGCTTTAGTGAAGTATACTTCATTTTAATTCATTAAATTCATTATTTTTCGTGGTCCGCTCAAAGTCACGATAGCTCAAGTGGTAGAGTAGCAGCGTATCAAACCGAAGGTCGTGGGTTTGAATCCCGCTCGTGACACTGACTTTTTTATCTCAACTAAAAACCTTAATTAATTGAATGATATTAATTGGTCAACCGGACCACGAAAAATAGTGAATTTAAGGAAGTATGGTTTAGTTGCTTTGAAAAAAAAAAAGTACTCTTTCTCATACCACTTCTCAGTATGTTCCGCTGATTTGCCATAAAACAAATCTCAGAATATGTAAGAGAAAATCACATAGGTCTGGAGGGTAAGGAAAAGGTGCTACAAGGCTAAAGCCAGGACATCCCAACCAAATCCCCTCTGCTGCTAATAGTGCATCAAAGGAAATGGAGGAGTGTTTGGGCTGGATCAGCAGAGATGTTGATCTATAAGTGGCCTTTGGACGATCTTGAATAGAAGAAGAGGTATCGTACTCACAAGACTAAGAATAAGCCATGCGAGCTTCACACACAAACTCTTACTTTTGAAGAATAAAAGCTGGCATATGTGGGTTCAACAATATTGCCCCCCTCCCCAAATCCAGAATACATATAAACACTCATAAGGAGCCATTAATTTTGTATTTCCATTTGTATTCCCCATTCTTGCAAGATTTTTTTTCTTTTCTTTTTTATATCTGTATATACATACATTTATACAATCAAGTAAGGAATTGGAGGATTGTTGATATTGAGCCAGTAACAACTACCTTGTTAGGCAGACTGCAAATATAATATATACAACTGAATAACCAAGACTATTTTGCTGTGTCTATGGGTACTTGATATTCCATCACAAAAACACGTAAACATACTCCAACATTCCTGCTAATAAATACATTCACTGTATTTAACAGTAAGGATATTAAAATTAATTAAGGTTTTTATTTGAGATGAAAAAAGTTAATGGCACGAGCGGGATTCAAACCCACGATCTTCGGCTAGATACGCCGCTGCTCTACCGCTTTGAGCTACGTGACCTCGATCAACTCGGACATCAACTTCCTATCTCAACCCCACCTTATGAGCTTTCCCCCTTTTTCGCCATTTTTCAATTTTTTGCCCGCTCCTGCCATTAACTTTTTTCATCTCAACTAAAAACCTTAATTAATTGTAATGTATTAATTGGTCAAGCGGATCACAAAATTAGTGAATTGAATGAATATTTTTAGGATATTTTTAAACAATATATCAAAGGACTCCCTTTCTTATTTTAATTCATACTTCTTATTTTAATCACTACTATGATTTAAATGCTTTTTAGTCTCCAGGCAAGCCACAGTTTATACTGTGGCGCTGATTCCTCACACTCTGCCAAATATGTATGATAGTTGTGCGAGATGCCCATATGTGACCTATCTTTAGGTAAGCAGATGTAATATTTTCTTTTTTCCCATTCCCTCTAAGGCCCACAGTTTGGCCGACGGTTTTATTTCGTTTAGTCTGTCGGTCATGTTGGTCCACTCTTTCCAGCATTGGTTTTTAAGATAATTTGACACATCCGCTGGACACCATGGTTCAGGTCTTGCAGATCCCTGCTGCTCGTTTGGCTGTTTGGTAGGCTTTTTCATGTATGTATATGCCAACATGTCCTGAGATCCAAAATAAGATTATTTCTTTTCCTAGTTCAACTATTATAACTTTTCTTTTAATAAAAAAAATCACCAAGTTACCTTGTTAAGGTTTTTTTGCCTGTTTAAGAAAGTAGGTCCTTAATAATCATTCAAAGAATTTAATACACCAAAGGAAAATAAATTTTAAAATGTAATAAACAAGCATAAAACCAAACTTACAATTGTTGTAATTACTCTGTTGCTAACAATGGATGCTTGATGGGGTTTATATAATACATAAAATAAACAAGACATTTTTGAAGTAAATATTGTAATTAATAACAAAGTTTAACTGACGAAAATTCCCAATCCTACAAGAAATAATTAAAGCTAGAATGATTTTTTAAACCCTTCCTGGACTTATTTTTTTCCACATTTTTTCTCCAATTTGTTATATTTTCAAAGTACTTTCTTAAACACTAATTAAGTGTAAAACAAAATACTGTCTAAAATGACTAGGATAACTTTTTAACTAACTTTGAAAAATATATCTATAGGCAAAGTGCCTGCCTTAATAACAGTGTTTATATGTTATATATATTTATATATATATTTAATATATATATCATAAATATTTAAAATAGTAAAGCCCTAAGCATTAACATTGGAAATAGATTAAAAAATTAGAAAATATTACAATCTTACAACAAAATTTTACCAATGAGCTCATGTTCAGTGAATTGTTGTTGACTAATATTTTTCATATGATATATATTATATTGCTTGATATTAAGATATTGTTTGTATTGCTTAATATATAAATACCATAATGTCTCTTAAATGAGATACAAATAAATACAAACTTACACAGACTCAACAGTTATAAAAAGAAATATCACTTAATTTTTTAAAAATATTAATCAACAACTTGTCCCAGTTTTAATTACAAAAACTTTGTATCTCACATCTAAATTGTTTTAAAAAATGTACATATATATTTTTTAAACAAAGAAATGAATAAATTTAAAACGAGAGAAACAAGAGATTACAACAATTACACAATAATGCAGTTGCAAAGTAATGATAAAGATGAATGGGAAATGCACCCTCCTTTTTCGCTCGATACCCGCCATATCTCATTTTACTATCTCATACTCAATTTTACATTTAGGCCTTACTGTAAAGTTGAAATTTACACCATCAAATCTGGCACTATTACACAAAACTGAATAAAAAAACGGCAAAACGAAAAATCAGTCAAGATGACTTGGGGAGGGTGTCGGTTTATAAAATTAAACGGTCTGACAGTATCAAATATAAAACATTTATATATTAATTATGGAACACATTTACACGAAGAAATATCCTCTAATAACTATTCGATTTATAGGTTTGGTGTTCTTATTTATTTTATTATTTTTTTATTTCCATATTCCGTTATTTTCAAAATAAATACCTATCAGGCTTTGTCATGATGGATGAGATGATCCACCAACCGATAGGACTTGTCTGACAGAATGCAATCGACCATGGAAAACTGAGAGACTTTTCCCTCCATTGACAATTAAATCATGAGAAACGCCGTCCAATATAAATTCTAACCCACAATAATCGTCAAGCTTAGTCGAATTAAAAAGCCATATTTATAAGACAAAACAAAACTGATAAAAAAAATCTACTTAAGAAGAGCAAAAATTTTACAGTTCAAAGGCTTGAAAAGGTGTGAGCGTATTTTAGAAAAACTGATTATGTCAATAAGTTCAATACAATGTTTTCTTTATTTTTTTTTTTTTATACCGTGTTTATTTAATTTTTTAAACCTAGATTAATATTTTTAAAGAAGTCCATATGCAATGTTCATAAAGTAATATGTCAGACGAACTAATTTTATATTATTACAGCTTCAGATTGTCAAATTTTCTTGATTGAGTTTCAAACGTACTATTTATAAGTAAATAACAAAAAAAAAAATTTAAAGAAAAAAATTGTTAGAGAAAACAATCATTTTTTAATCCAATTCCATCTTAAAAGATTTTGGCAGTGTCAAGGGGATAAGACGAGGCTTAAGATAGGATATTTGTGTAAGTAGGATTCTGCTGTTCTAATAACACATATAGGTTTATTTGGCACAAGAAAATCAAGAAAATTACTCAATACGGGAATTTTAATTTTGTTAATTACGCTAGAACGCTTTGTTAAAATAACTGATTAGAAAGAGTATTTTTTCTTTGATTGTGTGTACTAAAAACCTCTCTTTTATTTATAATTAGAATGAACTGAGAATCAGTTCTTGTTTTGTCAAGTTTACAGTTTTTCTTTTTACTGAGGTTTGGCCATATTCAAAATAGCCTGTAACACGTACTGCCCTTACTTCTGTCACATGCATTATTTCATATATTACAATTCTTACCCTAAAATCATATTGAAAAATAAATTAATCATCATGTAAACTTTAAAAATTAACAATACCGAGTCACAATATAACATCACCTATCCGTTAATATTAAAAAATTGCAATTGATATGTTTTTCAAATGGACATACGAGTTTCAGTATTGTCTATAAACAGTGCCTCATCCGAGAACGATTAAAAGTCTGACTATATTCCTTTATTTAAAACAAGTCCGAAGAAAAGATTACAAAGAGAAGAAAAATACAGGTTGAATTTTTTTTAAGTTAAAAAAAAGAACTAGCTTGTTAATTTATTTACAACAAAGATGAAAGACAAAACTAGAGATATTTAATCAGATTTTATCACGTTTTTTTTTTTTTAATTTTTTTTAAATGGACGTTTCAAGACAAAAGAAAATAAACATACATTAAAAGGAAGTCTTTCAAAATCAACGTTTTCCCTTTTTTTTAATTTTTGCATTGGATTAAACAGCTGGAAGTTCCTTATGTTTTTAAATACCCTATTTACAATAAATTGGCATTTTTTAAAAATACCAAAGCATCAAATATGATTACTATGTACAAGCTATTATAGTAAAATAACTTTTGACAAGTGCTAAAAATCTTTTCTCTTATTTATAATTTATTATTCATTATCATTAATAATTATTAGTTTATTGTATAAAAAAACAAATATTCTCAGTAAAGATTAAAAATTCAAAATATTTCAGTCACTAAAAAATAGTTTCGAGCGAAATCTAATGAATCTTTTTTTTATATTTTAATTCTCAAGATTATATATTGATATTTATTTAAAATCTATGTTTTTTAATCCTTAATATATTTAGAACGGAATTTTCTTTCAAAAAATTAATTTAATAATGAAACACATTTTTAATGATTATCACAATTTAAAGAGTTTTTTATTTTTTAACTTCCTGGCATAAAATTGTCAAAATGTTCTTTCTTTTTATTCATATGTGTAATAACTAGTCTGACTTCAAACAGAAATTACCTAAATTCTAGGAGCTATTTCAGTAACTTTTTTGTTTGTTTTTGTTTTGAAAATTTGTACTTCATCCTACTTAGAAAGGTTAAAATCTAACTACAAGTATATATTCCAAAGATAAATCTAATGAATTGAGCTGTCAATCTTTTTTTTTCTTTTTTTTTACAATTTATAAATAGCTTTTTATCGCAACAATAAAAGAAGCAGGTACATAACTGTGTTTGTTCGATATAATTAAAAATAGGCCTTATTTTAAAACAGAAATACAAAGAGAAAGTGGTATGTGTTCCTTTTTTAACGTTTTATACACGAAAAATGCTAAACGACTACATCTAGTGTTATATAAAATTCATTTTAAAAGATGAGAATTTTTTTTTACTTTTCCTACATATTGAAGATATTTATAAAAATCTCCTCGCTGTAAAATTTTGGGAATAAACAAAATTTTGTTTTTTAAAAGTGTCCTTCCTTGGAAAATTTTTAAAGCCTAATTCAATTTTTTTTAAGTCTTCCAGACACATGGCAGTTTGACTGCTTTCATTAATACAAAAGAAACGCTAAATCTATAGCCTTTTTATTTCCAAATTCACAAACATGGCCTGGCCTCTAATAGCAATTTACTGCTTCTACAAATATCAGCCGAAAGGACTGTCCAATAAAAAAGAAACTATAGAAACAGCCATGGACAAAAAAGGACACAACAGCACACACAGTTGTACTATGAAAGTCACAATTTTCAGTCAAGGTGTTTTCTCTTCTCGTACCAATCCTTGAAAATCGATCTAGAACTTTGAAATTTTACTTTTACGTACCTTCTAATAAAAAGATTTGGAACATTGTCCAACTGTGTGAGATATGCTGCAATGATTGTTTCTAAAATATAAAATAGCACCTATTATTAGTCAAATTTAATATATTAACATGATGTTTTTATCTTGTTATCCACTATTAACACCTTCATATGCAAAGATTTTAATTATAAGTTTTTAAGACCGAAATAGAGAAAGAGAAGAAGAAAGAGATACTATAATTACTTCAAAAGTACAAATATTCATATCGTATATGGGACCAATGTGAACAAGACGTGTTCATTATCAGTACGAACAAATCACAGCTCAAGCGTGGAACAAAAAAACAAACACAAAGGACTAAAGCGCATTCCACCATTACAGATCCTGGTTTGATTATCAAACATTAAAGAGGTTTCAGTGCTTTTGTCAAATCTGATGCTCAGATTAGGCTAAGCTAGTTTTTTCATTGATTGAGCCAGATTCGCATGTCTTGTTATATTTTTGAGCTGTGTTCCTGGTTGAAAAAGTGCACTGAGTTCCATTTTTAAACTTCAAATGTATGCATGATTAAAAATTTTTAAATACTAATCTATGCGCTATTCCTCACCATCTGCTTAATTTAAATATAATAATTAGCACCAGTTGTTTTTTATATTTTTCTTTAACGATTATTTCCTTTTTTTTTTACAAAAGAACAAAGCCAAATATTTGACCTATAAGTTTGTTTTTATTCTGGAAGCCTGATCTCCAAATCCTATTCTTGTCAAACTAAGGCTAATAATTTTTTTATCTCAAATCTAAGTTTAACAAAAAAAGAAAGAAATTGAATTAATTTTTATAATAGAAAAAGCAATAAATGCAAAAGTTTTCAATTAACCTTATGATTAAATGCTTAGAGAAAAATTACATCATTAAAACAGTTGAGATCAAATTAAGAAATATCCATAAAATATTAAGTACCTACATAATTAAATATATTTTATAAATCTACTTCGATAGCCTTTTAGCTTCCTGAAAACATTAATAAAATGTACATCGTATGACATTGTTTATAAATGGCATAATTTATCGATTAGTTATAACGAGTTTCATTATGACATTAAAAGAATTTGAATAGATCGAATGTTATACAGCAAATATTATAAAGAAGGACAAAATCTATATCTAAGCTTAAATATAACAAAGCACTGATCTAAGATTTATAACAAGGAAAAATAATGGTTATATCTTATTGATATACAAAAATACAAATTCTAACAAATCACAATGCTGAATGATAGAAAAATATCTTATCTTTGCAATAACAACAACCACACTAAGTTTTATATGCAATCTGCTTCTTTTTTTAAATATATTTTTGCTCTATTTTCCCCCAATTTGTATTAAACAATTTTTAGATTTGTTTCAAAATCTTTCCAAGATGCCTTTCAGAGACGGACGATTAAAAGAAATAGTAAATTATAAGGAAAAGTAATTTGTTTTAAATTTTAAAACAACTTTGTTGAAGTTTCAGATTTTTTTAAAACCATAATATCAAATTTTAAAAAAAATAAATAATTATGTTTATTAATACAATTTGTCAAAAATTGTATATTTGTTTTTAATATTCATTTTAGACTTTTTAGAACTTATCAAAACTTCAATGCTTGTCCACCTCTGACTTTTGCCTGTCACAAACCAAAAAAAAAAAACAAAAAAAAAAATCAACAGAAAAAACTTTATCAAGAGATTGTAATTAGAAAGTTTAGGCTGTGAAGCATATTAAAAGATTTTGCAAGAAAACAACAATTTCTACAAACAAAATCCTAAATCTTTTCTGGCAAAGGCATCGTATAATATATTTTTTAAACTATTTTAAAATGTAATTGCATTTTTTTTTAACTTTTCTTTTTTGAGTGCTAGAAAGATTTTACAAATTTAAATATTGAGGCTATTCAAATAGAAAAAAGTTGCTGAAAAAAGTTATGAACTATATCTACCCATTGTCAACTATATTCTAATTCATAATCACATGCTCATAAAATGACAAAACTTTTCCAAGTTTTTTTTTTTTCTTCAAAATTTTAAGTATAATTTAATTACACAGCCTCAGCATTTATAAGTAGTAACTTACAAGTAGGTATTCACCCAAATACATATTTGCAGACAGATTACATGCTGGATATGATCGGAATAGGTGGAATTTCTTTCTAGAAACGGAGAATTCAATTTTAGTGTCGGTTGCTGAAAAAGACAATTCCCTTATTTAAACAAAGGGATAAATTGGACATGTTGGGATCTAGTCCTAAATAATTCGTTTTGCTTGACTTGTGCTCTTTAGTCATTTGCTAAGTACATACTTTGTTATGTGAAAAGGAAGCACGGCTAATTTTGAGGGGACCCCTTGCATAGGACCTGCCTCTCTTTTTCTGCTCGCTCTCTCTGCAACCTGGAAAACAATTAAAAATATCAATTAATACATAAAGCAATAACCATAGCAAAATACCAAAACACGTCAAGGAGACAAAACTAAAGAGAATCGGACCAAGTTGTTTCAATTGGACTTGTTAAATTTCTTATTTTTTGACATTCAAAGGCTCCAAAAAAACTTGTTATTGTCTGTTTTGAAGCATGCATAAATTTAATATTTAATATGAAGGGTTCCATTAATTATTAGAGATTTTTCTTAGAAAAATATTCAAGAAACATTTGAACAAACTATGAAATAATTTCACTTCAATCTCAGAAGAAACGGAATAAATGAAATTTGCTGAAGGCTTAATAACTTTAGAACTAACAAATATGAACATTTATACACGATTGCAGTAAATGCTTATAAATATAAACTTGAATCACTTACTATCGTTCCAGGATCAATTTCCCACAAGCTAATTGTGCATGCACATAAGAGGTCAATTGTTAGTAAAGAACAAAAACCACACTTCAAACTATTCTATACATGCTAAATGTTAGTCACAATACAATTTTTGTATAAATATATTATTTTTGTGTGTATTCGTGTTGATATTAATAATGATCAGTTTATATGATGCAGCCCCAGTTGTACAATAGTCATATCACAATGACCTAGGGCAGTGGTTGGCAAACTCGTCATCCAAAAGAGCCAGATATAATAATAAATTCACTAATTTCGTGGTCCGCTTGACCAATTACAATATTACAATTAATTAAGGTTTTTAGTTGAGATAAAAAAGTCAATGGCACGAGCGGGATTCGAACCCACGATCTTGGGCTTGATACGCCGCTGCTCTACCACTTGAGCTATCGTGACCTCGATCCACTCGGACACCAACTTCCCATCTCATCCGCACCTTTTTGATTTTTCCTCCTTTTTGCCATTTTTCAAAAATTCAAGCCGAAGATCGTGGGTTCGAATCCCGCTCGTGCTATTGACTTTTTTATCTCAACTAAAAACCTTAATTTATTGTAATATAATAATAAAATTGAAGTTTATTCAAAGAGCCATTTTTTAAACGTAAGCTTTGGTTTAGTAGACATTTTTATGGAAATAATTAGAATTAAAAGTACTCTCTCGAGCTTGCCTTTGCTGAATATGTCTTAGTTTAACTAACGGTACATAAATAAAACTTGGTATCATTCTTATATAAAGATAATATTTATTTAAAAATATAACAACTTAAATAATATAAAAGATATCCTTAAAAAAACTACAAATACTCCACTAATATGAACAATGGCCTTGTATTTCCCTGGAAAGTAGGGGTAAGTCAGGTTTTAATTTTAGGCACGATTCCAAGTTCTCATTGATAAGCCGATTTCTTAAACTACTCTTGATGAAGTTCAAGCTTGAAAATGATTGTTCGCATAAATATGTAAACAAAAATAAGGAAAGAACAGCAAACGCTAGTTCTCATCATCCAGGTTTTAAAAATCAACATATCTTCCCTCGCCAGATCTTTCAAAGCAGACCGTTTGTGCTTTAAACTTAATTCACATTTATTTTTCTCCAATAGCTGTAAATCGGTTTAAAGACACTCAAATTTTGAGCTCCAAAATTCTTTATTTTTTAAATCCAGCAACTGCATTTCAAAGCTGCCAATATCAATATTAAATTAATTTCTGTTACAGCGGCATTGAGAGGTTTTTTTTAAACAATGGCTAGCGTCACTTTGTTGTTTCTAAAGTCTTTGAAATTTCTTCAGGAAATGCCTGCGCACATAGTGCTTCCTGATGAATAATACAATGGTAAGTAAGTATCTTGTGATTAATTTTTTCTTTAAAAATAGTGACAATCCCATTTCTTGCACCTGTCATACTTTTCGTTCCATGTCTGCACTAAACATTTAGTGAAAGAGCCGCAGCCAAGAAGTCAAAGAGTCGCGGTTTGCCGACCACTGGCCTAGGGGATCTAGGGCTTCCCAAACTTTTAAGCCAGCAGACCTCTTTTACAGAACAAAATCAGGGCAAACCCCTCTCATTCAATTTAAAATTAGATACTTATAGTATGTGAAAAATTAAAGTTATATAAATTAGCCATTTCATTCTTAATTAGGTGATGAAAGGGGATATCACATGAAAACAAACAGTTTGGCGTACTTAATATTTACAAAATTTGAAATACAAAAATCAAATTCAACAGAATGGAATCAATCGGTAGATAAAACTCGAGCCAAATTCAAAAGTAATAATTTGAACATTCATGAATAATGAATTAATGAGAAGAGTGAGAGTGTTACCCTGTACAATTTCGATATGTTGGATTTAATTTTTGATAGCCAAAGACGGATGTCAGGTTCAGAATCTGGACAGCTTCAGACTTTAGTTTTGGCTCTTTTTTGATAGAAAATTTGGATTCGCATAGATAAGTTGTGGCAAATGGAAGAAGAACACGTTTTGTTTTTTCAACGAGCGGTTGAATTTTTTGTTTTCCAGACTGAGCCAAAAATGGGGTTTAGTATCGGATTCGAGATTTAAAGATGGAACCTGAAGTAATGTTTATCACTTGAGCCAAATTCAAAAGTAATCATTTGAACGTTCGTGAATAATGAATTAATGAGAAGAGTGAGAGTGTTAGCCTGTACAATTTTGATATGTTGGATTTAATTTTTGATAGCCAAAGACGGATGTCAGGTTCACCATCTAGACAGCTTCAGTCTTTAGTTTTGGCTCTTTTTTGATAGAAAATTTGGATTCGCATAGATAAGTTGAGACAAATGGAAGAACACATTTTGTTTTTTCAACGAGCGGCTGAATTTTTTGTTTTCCAGACTGAGCCAAAAATGGGGGTAAGTATCGGATTCGAGATTTAAAGATGGAACTTGAAGTAATGTCTATCACTCGAGCCAAATTCAAAAGTAATAATTTGAACATTCATGAATAATGAATTAATGAGAAGAGTGAGAGTGTCAGCCTGTACAATTTCGATATGTTGGATTTAATTTTTGATAGCCAAAGACGGATGTCAGGTTCACCATCTAGACATCTTCAGTCTTTAGTTTTGGCTCTTTCTTGATAGAAAATTTGGATTCACATCGGAAAGTTGTGGCTAATGGAACAAGAACACATTTTGTTTTTTCAACGAGCGGCTGAATTTTTTGTTTTCTGACTGAGCCAAAAATGGGGGTAAGTATTGGACTCGAAAGTAGATTAGACGACGGGTTGGCTTTGTCGAAACTGAAAATGGTCGGACTACCCATTCATGGTCTTGCAGCATTGAATCTCGAGCTGTTGCGAAGTAGTGCACAAAGGACATCTCCAAACTTCAAAGGTTCATAAATTTCATCCATCAACATGTCATTCATAAGCATGTCTCATAAGATAAAAAATCATTTGACACAGGAAAACACTCCATCTCTTTCTTCTCATCGGATTCATTCCAAAACAGGATTTTTCTTTTGAAGGTATGAACTTTGAAAGTTTGAATGAATGTGTTCAAAAGTTGTGATATTCTTCCCTTACAAAGAAATTCTCATCTCATTCATTTTCATGAAAATACTTGATAAATTTGACAGCATAAATTGCCATTGCTCACATTGAAAAATGTCCACTGAACGAAGCTGCTGTTTCTGGCTTGTCAGATAGTCTGTATCTGAACAGATGCTATCATCTCTGATCCAGGATTCATTCGATAAACAGATTTTAGATTTGACTGTGTGATATTTTAATATGTTTTTTGTTTTGGACTAGATAGAGTTGTGATGAGTAGAAAGATTCTTAAGTATATGTTATACTGCAAAGAGCAGTAAGTGGGGAGATTTAGCAGAACAGTTAACAGGCTAAAAAATTAATTTGTTATTAATCTTACTTGTTTTTGGACTGGCGCATGAACTGCTGAATCTTCCTGGCTGCTTGATGTTGTCGTCTTTGAGAGTAAGTCCGCCTATAAAAAAAAGTAAATAGTACATTGACTTAAAAGTCCAATTTGATGTGTTCGTACTTTAAGCCAGTTGGAGCAGTTTCGGTTTGATCTCTGTAGTTCCTGTAGCAGTTTTGGATCCTCACTGCAGCTTCTTGGTTCTTCTTGAATCGTTTGTTTTCACAGTATGACCTGTATCCATTTTGAATCACCATGGCGGCCCGTGTCATTTGTTTGAAGTAGGCATACTAGAGATTTAAGAAAAAGAAAATTTAAGAATTGAACATAAAGAAGAAACACTATATATGAAAAAACAACCTGTTTATATCTTCGATAATAATTTTGAATTAGAACCGCAGCCTGACGCTCCTTGTCTTGTTCAAGTTTCTTACGACCTTTGTAACTCCGGTAAGCTTTCTGTATCACTTTTGCTGCCTCGTAGAGTTCCCTCTGCTCTCGGTCTATTGCATAATATTCATTAAAGTTGATAAATTTGAAGAAAACAAAAACTTACCTGAGAGGGTAAGATTAGAGAAATCCTTTTCAAAATAAGTGGAATTTGAAGCTTGGAGGAATTCACAAAAGTCGGCAGTCGTCGGTGGTGGAGAAGGTGACCTGTGAAGTGGAAAAGGAGGTGATGGAAGGCAGCTGGCAGGGCTCAAGCTTGAACATGGTGTACCGACATCGCAATATCTAAACAATTTAAATTCAATAATTACCTAAAGAAACAAATAAACTACAAAATATTTGTTACTACAATATTTCAATGTTTTATCACTACTGATCAGTCTGGATTCTGGAACAACTTGACCTATCAGGCAACCTTTACAAATCCAAACAAACTTTGCTTTTCTTGTTTGTCAACGATTTTTTTCCATAACTCTCAAGCTTATTATTTTTAATATTTGTATTATTAAACATAGCTAACATATTAACTATTAAAACTGTAAAACATAAGCATGTGGTGATTTGAAGCTCTTCCAAAGCTTGAGATTATAATAGTAGCCCATTTCACCATCGTTTCCTTACTTGCTCGATGAGGCGGAAGGTGTCCGACAGGCGTAAAACCCCGGCGAGACGGTATATTTCGCCCCAAGTGCAAAGGGTCGTCGGAACCCGGTTTGTAAGGAGTCGTGCTCATGCCGAGAAGGGCTTCGGCCCGGACCAGCCGGGCCTGCCGGCGACATATTCCATGGCGTGATCCGATTCGAGGCACTACCAGGTTGGGAGTTCGGCTGGGGCGGTACATCTGTCAAATAATAACGCAGGTGTCCTAAGGTCAGCTCAGCAAGGACAGAAACCGCGCGTAGAGCAAAAGGGCAAAAGCTGGCTTGATCCCAATGCTCAGTGCGCATAGGGACTGCAAAAGCACGGCCCATCGATCCTTTTGGCTTGAAGAGTTTTCAGCAAGAGGTGTCAGAAAAGTTACCACAGGGATAACTAGCTTGTGGCGGCCAAGCATTCATAGCGACGTCGCTTGTTGATTCTTCGATGTCTTCTCTTCCTATCATTGCGAAGCAGAATCCGCCAAGAGTCGTATTGTTCACCCGCCAATAGGGAACATGAGCTGGATTTAGACCGTCGAGAGACAGGTTAGTTTTACCTTTCTGATGACATGTCATTGCTGTAGTAATCCTGCTTAGTACCGCAGGTTCGGACAATTGGTTCATGCACTCGGTCGACAGGATGGTGGTGCGAAGTTACCATCCATGGGAGTGTGCCTGAACGCCTCTAAGGCCGAATCCCGACTACGCTTTGTCGAAAGGCTCAAAATCATGCAACTTTAATAGGCAGTCCGTTTACGTGCCGAGTGGACGGGTGGATAGGGATGCAGGTGAAATGCCAGTATGACATCCTTATCCACTGGTTGCCGACATCTGTCAGATGTATTTGCAGATTCTTGTACAATCAGAAGATCGCGCCTTCCAGCACTTCGTATACCACGCAAATAGTAACGAGGCCCTCCAAGAGTACAAATTAAATAGAGTGACATTTGGACTAAATTGCAAGATAAGGACTAAGGTAAAATCCTCTTATTTGACACTTGAAATTCGAACCGCTACGCAATCCATTATCATTGCAGTTCAAAAACAACATTTCTCTGCAAGCTCCGCTTTTTCAAAATTAAGATCCTTAGCACCTTTCTATGATTCCCAGGGTATTCTTAAGGTGGGCGGTCGATTAAACAACGCACCCTTAACAGAAAACGCTCAAAACCCTATCCTTTTGCCTTGTCGAGGCCATTTTGTGGAACTATTTGTCGACCACCTTCACGAGGTGAACTTACACTCCAGACCGCAACTGCCTCACGCCATCATATGTCAACGATATTGGATAATATGTGCCAGAAGTGCGCCCATGCGCAACCGCAGGTCGGTACATTCCAATCCGCGGTTGCGGCGCTCCGTCGTAACAAGGTTCGCTCTTTGGGAAGTTCGATGTCGAGACTCTGAATCGCCTGTAGACGACTTTATTTCCAATATAGTATAACAATATATAGCAATATTGTTAATTAGTGTAAATTGGCTGTGTGATTGTTGGTGGTTTCTGAAGAAGTCATACTACTATGTGCAAGTGCAGGTTGAATTTCATTTTCCGGTACTCTTCCTGGTTTTTTCTTTTTTAAAACTGCAAGGATAGATGATTCTCTTTCTGGGAAAGATGGCATCTCTTCTAAGAAATGGCCAATACATCAGTAGAAGCAATTATACTTAATTGTAGGTATTCAGATGCTCTCTGCTGCAATTCAGCATCTGCACTTCTTAAACTGCTATGCTGTTTGAAAACTTCTTGGACGACTGGTTTAACTTCCGGGAAAAGGTTACAAATTTTACATATGAGGAAAGAAGTAAAGCTCTGGTCATTGGCGAACAAAGATGATACTTGGAATGTAACAAATGAAACTGAAGCCCATTTGATCAAGTTTTATAAGTTTGCAGACTACAGGTCGGAAAATATCACAGCCTACAACTTTTTAAATACATCCATTGGCCATGCTTTATACTTTCCTCTGGGTTCACTGATGACAATATTCTTTTTTTTCTGCCACCTGAAAGATTTGTCGTGGAATTTATACCCTAGAAAGTATTGTTAAGTAGTAGTAAATGTTTATTACTTTTATAACGCCTTCAGGTCCTTGTTGCCGGTCTCTATGAAATGGGCTACCAGGTCGCTGTCAAAGCTCCCCACCAGACACCTGATACAAGACTCCGGCCAGACGTCATCACGACCGACGAGGATGAGGTTATAGTCCTCGATCTAGCAATCACGTATGAGACCATGGGTGCGTTGGACACGGTAGTGGTACCTTAAGGCGCGGAAGTACAGGGTTTTGAGGGAAGCCCTCACGTAGCTGCACCGGAAGAGCTATTTTTCGGCGGCCGGTGTAGTACTGGGGGCAAGAGGATGCGAACAAAGAAGACGCTCAGGGATATCGGCATGAAAAATCTGCCGAGGTTGCTCCTCACCCTTTCCCTAACTGCCTTGAGATCCTCGCTGTCCATTTGCCTGCGGCCATATGGATCAAGAGCATAGCTTTTTTAGCGACCCATCCAGCGACTCCGGCTATCGAGCAACACCCACCGGAAGCGACGGACTAGCAACACCCACCTAGCATAGTATGCGGGACACACGTTTGGACCTGGGGTGCGGGTTAAGTTGGGAAGTAGGTGCCCGATGATACGACAACCGGCAGAGGCCGGAAAAAGGTTAATTTTTATTTAAACAGGAAAAAAAAAGTTAAATTCTTATTAGTCCCCCTTTAAGAAAATAAAAAAGGGTGGCCACTTCCTTTGCCTCTCAGTGTAGTTGGGAGTCGACCAGGCTACTTAGTTAAATAAGCCAAAATACCTCATCTGAAAGAGGCATTAATGAACTTTCTGAAAAGGCTGTAATGTTTTCAAGCTAAAACTTTGGTATCAGATATGTTCTGATGTCTGATGTTTCATGGCTAAGTAGGCATGTTTCTGTATCTGCTTTCCCAATTTTTTTAAAGGTTAGTTAAATGGGTAAAGGTCAGTAAGAAAGGCCTATTGTTTTCTTAATCTGATGAGTTTGAGGTAGAGTTTTGATACCATGGTTGAAAGGTTGAGAAACAACCTGATTGTTTTTCTAATAGTGAATACATTTGGTTATTTTTTTGAGGTTATTGAGAAATCCATTTGTTTAGTTCAACTTTTAGTATGCCAATTTGTGTATTTTATGGTTCAAAGATCTTCTGACCATAAGTCTAGTATCCTAACTCTATCTGAAGCTAGAATAAATGTCATACATCAGTTAGATATTTAATGTGTATCATCAGATACATCATCACATTTTAAGTAACATCAAATCAGCCTAGGATGATTAGAGGTGACCAAATTCCAGGTACATTACATCTTATTGCAGTTTAACATGATAGTTCAGTTTATACTTGGAAAATTTACCTATAATTATGATCAAAGTTGAATTCTGAGCTTGTATCAAAGCAGCATGATGATGTGGAAGAAGGGGGCTCGTCCAGAAGGAGCGGTGATTCGAGTGACATCACCTCCATTTCATCCGAGCTCATCATCATCATATCGCCCTCGCTTTCATTCTGCTCGTCAAAATCAAATTATTATTAGCGCAAGGAAGATTGAATTTGTCATATACCTTTATTCTTTCTGGCATGGCAGCGATTATCTGCTCGGCAAGAGTCAATACACGTACGTCTTGTTCACCTAAACATTAACATTTGTTGAAATCGCATTCCATATGATTCTGTATAATTTTTTGACAAGTCAGAATGAAACCATGCACAGCAGCGAGTAAAGTCTACCATTCTATTGGGTTGTCCGGAAAATAATGCAGGATTTTGGTATTAAACAAAAAAAAAGAAACTAGTTACTTTAAAGCAATGTTCTTTAATCAAAATAATTTCCCATACTCTCAATACATTTCTCCCAACGTGTTGGTAACTTATTAATTCCGTCTGAGTAGAATTCAGAATTTTTAGAATCGATAAAGTCAATAAATGCATTTTCCAGTTCCGTTTGATTTTTGAATATTATGTGTTGTAAGTAGTGGTCCAGGTGTCTAAAAAAATGGTAGTCAGTAGGCGAGAGGTCCGGAGAGTAGGGTGGGTGAGGCAAAGTTTCATAGCCAAGCTCCAATAATTTTTGTGACGTTACACGTGACACATGTGGTCGAGCGTTGTCATGCAACAAAATGGGCCCTTTCCGATTGACCATAGAGGGCTTCATTACTGCCAATTTCTGATGCATGGTATTAATTTGGTTACAGTATGATTCAGCATTGATGGTTTCGCCAGGATTTAAGAAGCTGTAGTGTATTAAACCAAATGAAGCCCACCATACCGTAACCATTACCTTTTTTTGATGAGTTGGGGGCTTTGGAAAATGTATTGGAGCTTCTCCTTTGTCGAGCCACTGTCCAGAATCCACTTTTCGTCACATGTAACAATTCTGGCCAGAAATGGGTCATTTTTGTTTCGACAAAGAAGTGATGCACAAACATCAAAGCGCTGATTTTTTTGGCGATCGTTTAATGAGTGTGGAACCCAATTTTCGAGTTTTTTCACTTTTCCAATCGCCTTGAGGTGGTCAGCGACGGTCGTTTTACTGACTTTGAGTTGCTCTGCAAGTTCTCGAACAGTTGTTTTGGGGTTTTCTTCCACCACTGATCGCAGAACATCATCATTAAGAGAGGAAGGCCTTCCACGACCTTCTTCATCTTCAAGGCTGAAATCTCCCTCCCAAAATTTTTTAAACCACCTTTGCACAGTGCACTCATTAACACAACCCTCGCCCCAGACTTGGTTAATGTTTCTAGCCGTTTGGGCTCCGCTTCGGCCGAGTTTAAACTCGTAAAAGAAAATCGTACGAAATTCTCGCTTTGACATTATAAGGATGACTGAATTATTTCCAAGTAGCGGAATGCTACAGAGGTAAACAAACAATATCATTTGGAAGAGGATTAATAAGTGTTGACATTCATACAAATGAGTAATCCTGTAAACGTAAACAGAATATTTTATATAGATTTTTTTTAATGAAAACTTAAAATCCTGCATTATTTTCCGGACAACCCAATATAATGGGAAAACATACACAAAAGATAGCACACTATATTTAAAAATAATGTAAAGAGACGTTTAAGCTCAAACCAATTTAGCACAAAATTGGAAAATATAATAAAATGTGCGTGAGTAATGTCGACTGTCTAAATTTTAAGAGCCAATCGCAATAATCAAAATGTTACCAAATCATTGTTGTTTTTGTCTATTTTTTTAATTCTTGACTTTGTTTACAGGTACTTAACGTGATTACACTCATTCCAAATTTTATCACAAATACATTTACGCACTACTTTTGGATAAAATAAAATAAACCGAATGGTTTCAGTAAAAATTATTATCCATGAAAACCAAAGATGCCCGATCCTCTGAAGATATTTAACAGAATATTAAAAACAGTTACATTGGGAATTTTTACAAACAAGAAACCTGGAATGAACAAAATCTAACTTTTCGGTTTTGTACTAACACTATTACCGGTTAGTCTACGTACCGACTGTCTGCTGTAGATGAGGGTCTTCCTGATTGAGCAGGACGGACTCGGGGCTGCTCTGGGCACCTTCTCGCCTCACCTCACCTGCATTAACACTCACTCCTTTTAGCCTCCTTCAACCCGTCACACAAATAATTTGAGCCAGAGGCTCTTCACTTTCACATGCTTTCACCATGCTTAGATACTTTTCATATAATTATTGGTGTGACGACTTATACGGGCTCGTGATCTTACAATAGATTAAAGTATACAAAAGTTCTATAAATATTAAGCTTTTGTTTAAAGTTCTGTTGTATTTGTAAATATTTTGAGATATTTTAAAAATTTAAATGCTGTTCTATATGTATTTTTGGCATAGTTTTCTGCAGTCTAGTCAAAAGAAAATATAAAAAGGCAAATGAGAAACTGTAGGTAAGATACTTTCAAATTTTATATGTAAAAATAAATATATCACGTTATCCTGAAAATAATGCAGGTTTATGATTGTAAAATAAAAACAATTAAATAAATGATTTATGATTATGAACATTTTTTATTAACAATTAATTAAGGTTTTTAGTTGAGATAAATAAAATGTAACTTAAAAGAGTTTGTGAATCGATATTTTTTCACATTACTCTTTATTCAATGGTGAAGGTGTTACAACATGACAAAAAAACTAAACCAACAAGGGTAGACAGGCCAGGATGATCCCAAATGACCAAACTTAGGTCCATAGGAGAAAATTCCAAAAGCAATGAACAGTCACAATTTTAATGCTACTTTACAAGTTTTTAGGTCGAAATATTTGCAATAATAAAGAAAATACTTAATATATAGAAATTCTTACAGTAATTAAGAGTAAGTCTCGTACTAGCGGGAGTTTTGATCAACTACCCAAAACGGCGGATCACTTTACAATATTTGCTCAATATAAATCAATAAAATACTTGTTATATTAATCAATTTTTGTCCAACTCAATTTGAAACAGATCATAAGTGATTTTCAAGTGATACTGTCCTTTTTCTTAAATTAAATGAGAAATAGTGCTCTATATAATGTATAAAAAAAATGCACTATCGTTACATTAATATAGTAAATTAATATATTGCCATTCCGTAAATAATGTGATATTCATGTATTTTAATTTTTTTTTTTTTTTTTTTTTAGTTTGTTAACATTTTTGATTATTTGATTCGTACCAAATTGTATTGATTCAAACCATCAGGCACAAAATAAATTCACATTATTTACACGACCCGAAATACGAGGGTATGCAATAAACAATCGGACAACTCGTCAGTATCAGATTAAGCATTGAAAATGCAGACATATAGTCAAAACTACTGTAGAAGTTATAAGAAATTTCTAATTCCAAAAAACAGCAAAAATATTAGCAGAAAAAATTGAATGAGCAAACTTTGTACTAACAAATAAACTACAGCTAGTAAATTAATATTGTATGCAGATAAACAATTCCAGATTGTGAAAAATGAAAAAAATAAATAAAAATAAACTTCTAAAGAAAATATGTAAAAGTGTCTGTGCAACAAGCACAATCTTCTTCAAAGCATAATTGAGACTGTTAAAAACAAATAGAAAATATAAAATTATTACATTCCTCACTTACCTTTAATTATTGTTTATTTTTTACTAATTTATATACTTATTTGTAGTATTTGTATTTTCAATTTTATAAAAAGTTTAAAACTAGTTTTGATGTGGAAAATAGTGAATTTTACTTACAAAGAGTAAAATCCATTCTTCGGATGGGCGAACTGTGCAAGGTTTCATTTAGGTCGTAACCGGAATCCATGGAATGACAAGTTAATGGCAGTGACATGCTACGGTCAAATCTAAAACAATATCAATAATAATAATAATTAAATTCACTAGTTTCGTTGTCTGCTTGACCAATTAATATGTTACAATTAATTAAGGTTTTCAGTTGAGATAAAAAAAGTCAATGGCACGAACGGGATTCGAACCCACGATCTTCGGCTTGATACGCCGCTGCTCTACCACTTGAGCTATCGTGACCTCGATCCACTTGGACACTAACTTCCCATCTCAACCACACCTTTCGATTTTCCCTCCTTGTTGCCATTTTTCAAATGTCGTGTAATCAATTTGATTCTCAGCGACAAATGAAAAGGCCATGGAGGGCTTTAGTGAAGTATACTTCATTTTAAACTGATTAAATTCACCAGTTTCGTTGTCCGCTTGACCAATTAGTATGTTACAATTAATTAAGGTTGTCAGTTGAGATAAAAAAGTCAATGGCATGAGCGGGATTCGAACCCACGATCTTCGGCTTGATACGCCGCNGTGGTAGAGCAGCGGCGTATCAAGCCGAAGATCGTGGGTTCGAATCCCGCTCATGCCATTGACTTTTTTATCTCAACTGACAACCTTAATTAATTGTAAAATAATAATAATAATAATAATAATAATAATAATAATAATAATAAGAGTTTTGGAAATTTTAAAAAGTAAATACTACCTTGACATTTTTTGGATGTCGTTTTGTTTGCTTTGCTTGCTGGCACGAATGGAAGGGAGGCTGTCGATTGACGATTGAAGCTGAATCCCGCTGTCTACAGAAGGACGTTTCACTAATCTTTCACTAAGCAAGCTTTTAGTTTGGCTACCTGTCGAATTTTTCGATTATTACATTTTGAAATAGGGTTTTGAAAGGGTTAATCGTACTTGGACTGGGGGTTGAGTTCCTACTCAGGTCTGCCCTGGTCTCATTCCATTGTGGAATATTCACATGGAGTTCCATGTTCATTCCATAATCAGATCTAAAACGAGGGAAAAAAATATTTAGCCAACTCAAAAGATATATTTTAAAATAGTTTTTACCTATTAAGACTACTAGGGTGTAGGAAGATTCCATCATCTCGTGAACTGTTGAGGGACTCGAGGGAAGTATGTACACCATCAAGGCTATCTATATCTTTATCATTGTCTTCTAACTCTAAAATATAATGGTCATTTTTAAAATAAAATAAAAAAACAAATGTAAATTTATTTTTACTTACGCTTTGCAATAGGGAAGCGGCTCGACTTATCCAGCCTTATCTGCAGCTCCTGTGCAAGCGTTGTATGGCCATTTTTACTGGCTACTTCAAGTGCGCTGTCACCTTTCGTGTTGACAAGTGAAGCTGAAGCCGGCAGCCACTCGTACAGCAATTGAGACATTTCGCTCTGCCCTTTCTCACAAGCTCTCATCTATTAATAAAAATAAATAATTAAAAAATAATTAAAAATAAACTAATTGTAACTGTTGTACCAAAGGAGTAAAGCCATCTGAGTCTTGATTTAAACCATCTACTTCCAATTCCAGCAGAGGGGCTGGGTTTTCCGTCCTCCATTTGATTAACATGCAGACCAGCCTAAAAATAATAAAAATTAAAAAAAAAAAAGTAGATTAAACTATGAGTTAAAAATTGATTAGACTACCTGGAATAGCCTAAACTCGCGGATAAGTGAAGTAAGGTCATTCCTTTGTATGATTCACACCATTCGATTGAGGAATCAACAAGCTCTGATTCTTTCCACTTCCGCTGGCTCAATTTTTGAACAAAGTTCATGAGTTTCTCTTCAAAGTTGCCTTTTCCGAGCAGAGTGGTGTTTTCGGTATTGTCCTGAGGTTCTTGCTTTATGTCGAGCCGGTTGTCAATGGCGTCGAGGCGCTGCATGAGTGTGAAGCGCAGAAGGCTATCGTGCGGTTGAGATTCCCTCGTGCTGACCTCCGTCGCCCTTTCGCTACCACTGGGTGGAAGCCGTTTATACTCGAACATTGCAGAGTTTGAAATGACAAAGCCCTCGCAGGCAACTTGCAACGTCACCATTCCAGCCTCATGAGCTGTACAGAACAAAACCAAAATTATTTTTTTATAAAATAGACGTTTAGAAATGTATTTACCTGGGCAGAAACATCGAAGTACCCCACTTTGTACTAGGGTAGTCGGAACAGGGCATGAATCGAAGAGAACCGTGTAAGGCGATGTTGTTGAATACCAAGGGCCTGTTACTAAGACTTTAACTCCTCCCTGTAGACATTATTTTTTTTGTAGTGTTTTAGTTTGAACATTTTGTTTTGGAAATTAATACCTCTGTGTACGCCCACTCGGGTGAATAATCGGTAATATTTGCAGTCCCTTCCCTGTAATCCATCCTTGGAGGGGAATTATTACCCTTTTCAGTGTCCATGACTTCTCCATTCTCACCACTTCCGCTTACTACAGGCTCACCAAGATTGTTTCCTTTATATAAAAAAAAAATGTTAAAAAAACAAATATCAGTAAACAATTTAAAGAAGAAAAAACTGCAAAACAATGAATTTAATGTAAAAAATCCTACATTTACTATCAACAGTCACTCCTAAAAATCCAAAATCAAAACACGCAGACTTCAAATTTCCCTTTAATTCTACAATTTTATATAATAACTGACTAAATAATTTTATTGTTTATAAGTTAACTTCATATTTACCATTGTGGTTGTGATCCAGGCCTTCCAGATCTGGAAATTCTGACAGCATGTCAAACGCATCTAAATTTACAAAAACATCGTCATCCACTTGACTTGAAGTGTTCACATCTATAAAGTCAATTTCCAAACCAGGAAGAACGGCATTTTGTTTATTCCCTTCCTCTCTTGAATCTCTGAAGATTACAAAAAACCAAATTAATATTTTTTAATGTCACAGAAATGATAAATGTACTGACCTATTGTCATTTTGGGTACAGGACAAGGGCATATTGGCTGAAAGGGTTTGCTGAATATCCTCCTGGGAGAGATCTAGCGTCTCATAGTATTCAGAGCCACCCATGTCTTTCATCTGCGGAGTCAGATAAGGCTTTACTTGAGTTTTATTTGCTTGTTTTCTTCTGTATTTCAACCTGTTGTGTTTGTCAATGTCACCTACGTTAGTGTTCGACGTTTGCTGCTGCTGGATGTTGGGCCCTCGCATCTGTGCTGCGACCGGTTGAGAAATCTGGCAGTGATTATTTTCAAGCTGGAATTTGCAAGCGAAAAATTTTCAAGATGAAATTTAAGCCTGTCGGTTTTTAACTAAAACTTGAACGATATTTACGGTATATATTACCTCCATGGGAGGGTCCTGGTGCTTCTCCTTCCGGGTATGCCTTTGCGTGACCAACGATGCAACATGATTGCTTGTCGATTGGTTGGAATTCAGTATAAGAAGAGATCCCGGGGCCTGGAGTTGGGATAGACTTAAAACTAAAGGGGTGCCTGCTCCATTTTGACTATTAGAACCCTAAAACAAAAACACAAAATATACATTTTTGTTAAATCAATATACAACATAGTGTCGAGACTAGGGTAATCAGGGTATAGACCTTGATTCCTTTCTTCAAAAGTTTCTAAAGCTAAAGGCACATACTCGTTCTTAACACATTATTTCTTATAAACAAACCGTCTTCTCAATGGGCAATAGTATATTTGATTTTTTTCTTTTTCTTATTCTTTTTTTTATGAGGGTTCACAATAGCAGAGGTTATATAAACCCTCAGGGTGCTGGTGTTTTTGAAAAAAAGCCCATTTGTAAGTCGGGTTTGAATGCAGGGCCGCTGGATTCGAACCTGGGACCTTTACCTTACAGTGATGAGCGCCGTGTCAATGCCTAAACCGTTGTGGCCACTGATCCCCCCCCCCTATATTTGATATTCTCCACTATCCAATAAAAAAGTATAAACTAATATAGTCAGGGCTGACAAGGTGCTGAATATTGCTAAATAGTTAATTCACTAATTTCGTGGTCTGCTTGACCAATTGATACATGACAATTAATTAAGAGTTTTAGTTGAGATGAAAAAAAATTAATGGCACGAGAGGGATTCAAACCCATGACTTTCGGCTAGATACGCCGTTGCTCTACCACCTGAGCTATCGTGACCTCGATCCACTCGGACATCAACTCCCCATCTCAACTCCACCTTATGAGTTTTCCCTCCTTTTGCCATTTTTCAAGAGATGGGGAGTTGATGTCCGAGTGGATCGAGGTCACGATAGCTCAGGTGGTAGAGCAGCGGCGTATCTAGCCGAAGGTCGTGGGTTCGAATCCCTCTCGTGCCATTGACTTTTTTTCATCTCAACTAAAAACCTTAATTAATTGTCATGTATCAATTGGCCAAGCAGACCACGAAATTAGTAAATTAATGATTTAAAAATGAAGTACACTTCACTAAAGCTCTCCGTCGCCATTTCAATTGTCGTCGAGAATCCAAACCGATTACACGACATTTGAAAAATGGCAAAAGGAGGGAAAACTCATAAGGTGGGGTTGAGATGGGGAGTTGATGTCCGAGTGGATCGAGGTCACGATAGCTCAGGTGGTAGAGCAGCGGCGTATCTAGCCGAAGGTCATGGGTTCGAATCCCTCTCGTGCCATTAATATTTTTTCATCTCAACTAAAAACCTTAATTAATTGTCATTGCTAAATAGATTCTCAAACTACATTTAACATAAAAGGCAAATAGAAAAAGGGAACCGCAAGAATCACTGCCAAGCTCAAGCACACTTTTCATATTGCTTTGAATTCCTACTTGCTCTCTATAAAGAGCCAGCAAATGACAGCCATCAATTACAAGAGACCTTTGATCAACATTTCTTTGCACGATGACACAAACTCAGGCTTTTGGCCCAAAACTAAGTGTCAGTGCATTAGATGTGAATGGCCTATTCTAAGTCATATGACGAGTATACATATATTAATGTATATTAAAAATCAAAATGATATAGTGGTTCTGAACATTGACTGAACTACTTTTCTGATATAAGATAATATGAGCCTTTAATTATGAAAAAAGATTACATCATTTTTAGTTTATTAAAACAAGGCATGGTACATGATGAAGATAAGGTTAAGTACAAGTAAAGCAAGATAAATTAGCACCATGTCGCTACATCTAAATTAGTGAAGGCATCTAGTTTAATGACAACATCACCGTTATATTTACTTCTCTACATTTTTGTTTGATTTATTTTTGATGCTAATAGGATTTTTTTTTTTGGGGGGGGGGTTTATGCTGGCATATTACCCATGAAATTTTCTATTTTCATTTTACTGTCGAGCGGGATCGGCCGACCAGGACCAGGTCCCCACCGCGCGCCCGCCGCGCACCCGCCCCCTCTCATTCAGCTCCATCATCTTCTCATCTTCTAAATTTTCATGGTTGAAGATAATCAAAAAGAAACGTTTATCGACTTTAGAAATCCATAGATTATGTTGAAAGCTGATGGATTATTGCTTATTAGGACAGATTCTAAATTTATTGGTCTGGAAATGTTTGGCACTTTGCTCAGATTTTTTAGCAGTTTGTCTCTTTCATTTCCATATTCTGGACATTCAAAAATTATGTGGGAAGGATTTGAAGGGCAATCGCAAGTGGGACAGTTCGGAGACGATGCAAAACCGATTCTCTTCTTGTAGCTACCCCATAGGCCATGATTTGTCTTCAGTCTAAAAATAGTAGAATAGAACTCCTTTGACATTCCTTCTGGGCTATCGCCTTCAGAAAACCATGGTTTTTTCTTGAGCTCAGGGAACAGTGATCTGTAATAATTGCCAACATTTGATGCGTTGTATTTTTCTTGCCACAGATTTCTACAAAACTTTTCCAAAAAGTTTTTCCCGTCATCTTTAGGAATTTTAATGTCAGGGGTTGGACCTGATGTTGCAGCCTCATTTGCAAGTGCATCCACTGTTTCATTTTGCCATAAGCCTGCATGCCCTTTCACCCAACACAATGCCACCCTGTTTCCCATGATTTTTGTCTCAAGCATTTTCCTACAGATTTAGGCAAAACTATAGTTTCTGCATTTGTATTCTGGGGTAATGTTATTTATCCTTTCTACAATGCTTCGACAGTCTGTGAGGATAGAAAATTTAGAATCACCCAATTTTCATATGTAAGCGAGAGCGCTATCTATCGCAATTAGTTCTGCTGTATAAACAGCCATTGAAGTTGGAAGTGAATGTTATTCCTTGTATTGATGTTTAGGGTCCAAAAGGGCATAACCTGTTTTGCCATCGATGTTAGAGCCGTCAGTAAATACGTACACATGTTCCGGATATATCTCGTTAATGTCGGCTAGGAATTCTTTTTGAACAATATGCAAGTCGAGCTGGGAATAATCTTTAAAAAATGTTGTCGAAATTGTTAATTAGAACCTCGTATCTGATACATGGGGTCCACAGGGCTTTTAAAAAGGGAGTAGATGAAAGGAACGGACTGTAGGAAGGCCGACAGTAGGGTGGGGGATTTCTTTTTTTGGTAAAAGGTTGAGGTTAGAACTTTTTCAGTTCTAGTGTAACTATTTTATTAATTATAGGACTTTCCTGACAAAAAAGTTGGATAAGGAAGTTAAACGCTAATTTTTTGCACCTCATTTCCAGAGGGGGCTCACAAGCTTTGGCTTCTAACGCAACTTCGGGGGTGCTTGGTAGAGCTCCAGAATTCGCCTTATACATGCATTCCGAAGTGTATCAATTTTCTTTAACAGCGATTGGGAAGCTGCTCCATAAAAAATAGCCCCATAAATAGGATTTTTAAAGACTATTAATCTGCCTAGGTTTAAAAATTATCTGTAATTAGTGTAGAGATATATTGTTTGAGTAGAAATAATAGGGGGGAGTTCCCATAAGCCATATTCCATAATTACAGTACAAATTGTGTTCAGTATCAACTGCATAATGCCATGGTTGACTCACATGTGGTATCTGGTGGTTTGGGTGAATGTGGTGAACCGGGACAGCCCGTTCTCCGTGGACCATTCCCCGCCCGCTGACAAGCATCCCCGATCCGGTCGTCGAGGACACCTGGAACACAGAGAGGTGGCTTACGTCGGCGCGTTAACGTGATGTTAACACTTTTACCTGGTTGCTGTCAGAAGACGGCTCTGGCTTGGCAGATGTGATACGCCTGATCGGCTGGCTGCATGTCTTCGCGTCGGCACATGTCGAGTCGGGGCAGCCGCATTCCAGCTGCTTGCAGATTGCAGCCGTCCTTGCGCTTCTTTGACGGGCTAGCAGTTGGGAGACTATCGTCTCTACTGTTTCGGCCGTCTGAGAAATAAATAATATGCAATAATTATCATGAAAGAGTTCAGCAAAAGAATACCAAAACAGAAAAGGAGAGAGAGAGAGAGAGAGAGAGAGAGAGAGAGAGATGATGTGAAAGAAAGGAAGAAGAGAGAAAAAAGATTGAGAGCAAGAAAGAAAAGCCTAAACAAAATGAGAGGACAAGAAGGATAGAAAGATATATAAATAAATAGAAAAAGAGTCATGGAGGAGAGAAGGGAGAAAATAGAGTTAGAGGCAAAAAGAAAGGAACAAAAAAAGAGAGAGTAAGAGAGAGAATTGAATCATAGAAAGAAACTTACCGATATTTCTAACTCATTATTCGCATCTGGTTCTTCTTCGCTGTAAACTATAAAATTTCCTAATTAAATACAGGCTTAAATTCAACTTCAAATAACTTAACTAGTTAAACCATGTAAACTTACACATAGGTTTGAGTTGGGACACCAATTCTTCTTTGGTCCATTGTTTCTTGTCGGCACAAAGAGCGAGGCTTGGCGATACGATTTTGTTATCATCTGGATAGGGGACGTTCAAATAGTGAACCAGTACAATATCAGGGTTCTGCGTCAAAGAAATTATTAATTTTTTTTTTTGAAACAAAATATCGACAAACTTTGATTGAGTTTTATTTACCTGAAGAAGCCAGTAACATCTACGGTGAAAGGTCGGTAAGATGGCAGAATGGACATAACAACCATAAATACACTGAAAAGAAAAAAAAAATACATATTTTTAGCTAAAATTTGTATTATTACACAATTTAAAAAAAAATTACATCAATTGCTATAGCATGAAAAACTAATTTATCAATTTCAGTTAATAAGTTATCGCATAATTGAAAATTATTGACCTAGGTCACAAAATTTATGCAATCTTAAGATATTTATTTCAAAATATGTTTCTCAAGATATGGGAATAATATTTAGAAAAAATACTTGCTTGGAGTCATTAGTCTTGAAAATAAACTTAGAACAGGTGTATTTTAAGAGAAATTCTGTTGCTCGTAGAACAGTCAAGTTTTCAAAACAATTTTGAAAAATCACAATGATTTGAGCTTTATCAAATGAAGTGAATCTAATTCAACAATCTAAAAAAGCCAGCTTTCCCTCCTTGTGAAATGATCGGTCAAAAAAGACCTGTAGATTAGGCGATAAACTTATAATATGATTAGGAACAATGTAAGATTTTTAAGTTTTTGTAAAATAATGTAGCAGGACGTTTAAAGATGACATTTTATGTCTGCTCAGGTCAAAAGTCATTAACATAAATTCTACCAGCATACCGACCCAACCTCTCTTCTTCAGGTCACTTATTCTGTATTGAGGGTGGATTTTTGTAGTTGAAGGAACGAAGGTCTTCTTAAACAAGGACTAAGGCCAGTAACAAGGACGATAAGTTCAGGCCAGTAGATGATTTGGTCGACTATTTAATACAATAAAACGCCAACCCTGCAACACACTTTGTCGAACTGTATAAACAGATGACAGTGGATGTGAACATATTGTCAAAACCTGTAAAATAGCCACCAGTTTCATGTTCTTGCTTGTCAATTGTATTGGGTTTGGGTAAAGGTAAATGGAAATAATGTTTAAAAATCTTCCTACTCAGTCTAGGACGTATGGGGCTCTAGTCATAGAGAGAAACTTTTAAGTAAGTTTTTGAAATACGTTTTCCTGCCTTTGTTGTTCAGTTATCTCGAGTTTATTAAATATCAGTCTATTTGATTTTTTACATAAGAAAATAATTTAGCATACTTTGCTATGTCGCATGGTCACAAATGATGTATAGCAATTCTAATGTACATCATATGATTTTGACATAGAGACTGAGGAACATAGCAAAGTAGGCTAAAAAAAAAAAATATAATTTTTACAAGAAACAAAGCTGGTATGCATTTTTGTACCCCAATAACCCCTGAATACATGTCAAAACTGAAGGCATAAAAGTCGCCTCTGTAAATAAATAATTCTAGAAATAAAATAAAACATTTGAGGAGTTCAGTTGATTTCAACTTTATTTTTACCTTACAATGACATAAAATCTAAATGTTGTCAAAGGTTAAATTTAGATTAGATAAGTTCTTTATACAGGTTTGATGCCCAACCATGATCCATTTCTGCCTTTGGGGAAAAATTTTCAAATGAGAATTTCGATTACTAAGTTTTCTATTACCTTCTGAGAAAAAAGAACTTAAGTCTGCCCATTTTAAATACAACCTATCCAGAATCTTTTATCACAACACAAACTCAACAACACAAGATATCGCATAAATAGATAAAACATGACACTTAATTGACTAATTTTTACAAAAGATTGATAACTGAGGATAAAAAGTGTGTCCTAAACAGCCACATTACATCCTAAGAAGCTAATTCGTTCGTGCCTTTGCTGTAATTGTAAAGGAGTGGTTTATTGTGAGCATCCTCCGCCCAACCCAAAACCGTTAATTTTAGTGTTTACCTCAAAAAATTGGACATTAAGTTAGCAATTGTACTTCTATGCAGAACCTATGATTTTTAACAGTTCTCTAGATGCACCATTCACACTTGAGGTGTACTTGTACTCTCGGTACAAAAGAAGTTAAAAGATCACAAGGCAGTGGGACCAGATAGAATTCCTTATGAGTTTTTTAAATATGCTCCACGTTAATTCCAAGAACATCTTTGTTTTTATAACTATGTTTATGAATATGGTTCAGTCCCTTCTTCATTTGGTGAATCGATTATTTTCCCTCCTTTTAAACAAAGGGATAGAAATGATCCCATTAAATACAGAGGCATTTCATGTCTGAATGGTGTGGCCAAGATTTTTTCTTGCTTACTGCTCAGAAAGTTAGAAGTTTATGTTGATGCCAACGGTCTTCTAGGTGAAAGTCAAATGGGGTTTAGAAAAGGGTTCTCAACTAGTGACCATCTGTCAGTATTGTCCAACGTAGTCAATTTAAGACTATTGAAACCAAAGCAGAAGACGTATTGCTTCTTTGTGGATTTGAGAGCTGCTTTTGATGGTGTAGATCGTCGGGGATTGTTTTTAAAACTCATTGACTTAGATTTCCCTCAAAGATGGTCAACACTTTAAAATCCTTATTCTCTGTGTCTTCTGCGGTGTGTGTGGTAAGGAGGGTATTTCAGAGTTTTTTAAAGTGCATTGTGGAGTGCGTCAGGGTTGCCAGTTGAGCCAAATCTTACTCGCCCTCTTTTTACATGACCTCCCAAATGTCCTGGAATGTGGAATTTGTATAGGTAATACGTCAATTAAAATATTAATGTATGCTGACGATATAGTTATCCTATCAAATTTCTACAAATTTCCCCTGCATTGTTCGACCTACATGAAGATAATTTTGACAGTCTTTGTCTCAATGAGTTGCGATGGCTATTTAAGCTAAGAAGTGAGGTTTTGCACCTAAACTCGGCTGTTTGGATCAGAGGGGAATTGGGAATCTGTTCTTTGTGTAATTCACGCTCTATTGAAACTGTATCCCATTTCTTGGCGGAGTGCTCATCCCTGGGTGAGATTCGGTTGTTGCATCTCTGATGTTTCACTCTCCCCAGGGTTGACCTGTTACGGTTTTTGAGTGGCTCAAATTCGCGGCCCTTAATTCGTTACGCTAGGCATGCATGGAACTACAGATATGAATTAATTAGTTAGTTTAATTTTTGATTTCTATTGTATAATCTGTTTTTCTGTTCTCTTTCGCATTTTGGCAGTTGTTTCTCCTTTTTTTCTTTTTATTGCATAGGCTATAAATTTTATTTTATTTGATTGTGTATTTTTCGTTTCTGATTGTTTAATCAACGACCTCTGGCAGACGGATCCAAGATCCATGGCCTTAAATGCTTTGAAATCTAAATTGTCTTTTTTTCCTTTTTGACCTAGCAATTGACCAAAATGACAGACATTGGCTAATCATATGGGGATTACTTTCCATCAGAATAACCCTCTTCGAATGTCAGACACACCAAAAATCGTTTGATCTTGACTGTGATGTTCTACCACCAGCGTATTTGCCAGATATTCCCTTTATTCACTTATTCCAAGTAAAATACTTCTGGAAAACTGTATTATTTCACTTACTCAAACACAAAAGTTCTACAAGGAATGTGTGGTGATTAGTGACCATTAATCGATATTTATTTAGAAATCGTGAGATGCGGTCTGGTGTGATCTAGGTTTCAGAAAAACATTTTCTTTATCGTGCCAACGTTTCGATCTTTATTGAGATCATCTTCAGGGCTCAAAGTGTTTGTCTTCTGTGTAGAGTGCCCACTCTCGACACGACACGCAAGAATGACACAATTACACAGAAGACAAACACTTTGAGCCCTGAAGATGATCTCAATAAAGATCAAAACGTTGGCACGATAAAGAAGATGTTTTTCTGAAACCTACATCACACCAGACCGCATCTCACGATTTCTAAATAAAGTTCTACAAGAAGGAAGAATGTGCACATGAGCATATGTTCATCCATTTGGAATAAAATTTGTAGTGATAATCTAGAACCAATCCGCATAATCCCTGAAAATTGCATTATAGTTGCAAAGATATAGCTGTGTACATGATTTTATGTTTGTACATGCGCATGCACATATGTTAATCTGATTGGTATACAATTCATAGAGGATAATGTACAAAGCAACCCTGCACAATCCCTAAAGATCACATAAGAATCCTACAAATGGTTTCGGAGATATAGCTATTGTATCCGATAGGGATGAAATTCACACAGGACCTGCTAGATTCCAAACCGCATATTTGAAAATTTCTGGGTTTAGGGTTTTGCCGGTTACAAGGAATTGACCACAAACAGACAGCAAGATGACACAGAACCAAATTTTTTCAGAAAGATCTGAAACGCAAAATGTGTGAAGAAATTTTGATTTTTGAGGACAAACATTTTTTCAAGTTCCCACTTGAATACAAGGCTTCCCTACCCTCGGTAGTTTGGAAGCAAAATGACATGAAATATGTTAAAATGTACTAGAACCAATAGTTCATATATTGTTATACATTCACTATGAAAAAACGCTACGGACTTGTTTTAATTGATAATTTAAAATACAATATCTATCAAACATGTAATTTAAGAAAATATATATTAAATAAACCTAACTGGTGAAATTTGTTAGGTTGTAAACTTTGTTTCCAAATTTTTTAGAACATAATCTGTCCAATTTACCTTTTGTTGTGATTCTGTTTGAAAGCTGACACCACTGAGGGTCAAAAGTCTTAACAAGTTTTACGTAATGGATGTAATTATTTCAATTTTTTTTTTTTTTTTTGCTTTAAAATAATGACTTGGTCTATTCTCTTAAATTGTACCTACTTAGGAAGAATTTCTGCTCAATTGTTATTATGTAAAAAATGAACTTTTAGAATGTATGTACAAAGAATCGCTTTATTAAAAAAATATAAATCAAATCATAATTTTTTATATACTTTGATATAAATAATATTGTGTGAATTAAAGAATTGTTGTAATTTATATTAAATTTTACGTTGTAGTTATGGCGTCAATACGTGGATAAAAAATAGAAAAAAACCTAAAAAATTCCATATTGCATTTTTAAATTTAATTACTGAGTCGTTTTATAAAAATTCCACATTCTATTGTTAAAAAAAAGACATTGATGGAATAATAAGTTCAAACTACCATGGCTTATTAAATCCCTCCTGACTTTTCCTCTGGGTTTTTTCTTTTTCCCACGGAGGGGGAGGTGTTGGGCCGTTAATTAACGGGAATTAAAACAAGGGTAGTGGCAACAAGAGGTGAGAGGAAAAGAGCATGAAAAGGGTTTCCCAGCCCCGACCCCTCTTGTTTTCAACCCCTCTCGGCGGGGCGTCCCACGCCACAGCAAGAAGGGGGTGAAAAACTAGGCAATTCGCCTTCCTTTTTCCACTACGCGGAGGCGGCGACGAGGAAATGAATTCAACCTAATTACACGCTATGTGTGTAGACAATGGTCGGGGCGGGATATTTACATAATTTCAAGTCCGTACCGCGTTCTCCTTTTTGAAATTTCACGAAGTCGGCTCGACGGCTTTAATTGCTTTTTTTTTCTGCCACGTCGCGGTTCGCAGCTCGCGTCTATTCCGTGCGGATTATACTAAACGGTTCGAACACGTTGAAATAATTTTTTGTTCGTTCCAAGAAATTTTTAACACACTAAAATGCCAATTTTGACAAACTCTGCATAATAATTTAAGATAACAACAAAATACACTGACAGGCAAAAAATTCCACACACTTGTAATATAACTTCATTTGTATATATTGTTATATATTCATCAAAGTTTTACTTTTTATCGTTTAAAAATTGAGTCTAAGTAAAAAAGTTATAAAAAAAATGGAAATTGCTACGGAAAATGATAAATTTAAAAAAAAGGACAGATAAAATTTGTTTTAGATTTTTAAGCAACATTTCAGTATTGCGTATTTCCTCCTCTTGCCTTAATTATAACTCGAAGACACCTCACCATACTTTCTACCAGTCTGGAAATGTCTTTTTGCTGGAGGTTAGCCCATTCTTCACGAAGAGACCTTGGGAAATCGTGGAGTGTATCAGGAAGTGATGGACGACTCTTATTCGTCTTTTGAGGTTATCCCATAAATATTCGATGTGGTTCAAGTCTGGAGAGTAAGACCCTAATTGTTATACTGTTGAAGGTACGTTTGTATTATGGGAGTGACATGTGGGGCATTATCGTGTATTAGAATAGGATTGTCGCTGGTTTCATCGAGGATAGGCAACGCATGATGTTCCAAAATGTCATTCACATAGCGAGTGGCCGTCAAAGACCCTATAAGAACAACAACCAACTCTGTGCGACTCTCCTTTGAAATTTCCGCCCACACCATCACTGAGCTACGTAGAAAAAGTTGGCTCTGGGAAAAATTACAGGCTTCGGACCTTTAATTTCGCCTTCTGCACACTCTTTCAGGTCCATCTGGTGATCGTTGAGCAAATCTGCACTCATCTGTAAAAAGTACAGCAGATCAATCGTCCACAGACCAATGGCTGTGTTCTTGAGCAAATGCGAGCCGTGCAACTCCGTGTGTTGTGGTCAATTGTGGTCCTCTTACGGGGCGAAAAGTCCATACTGATTTCATCTTCTTGGAACAGTGCGTTCAGAAATTTGGACACCTCGAAATTCCTGGAGCTGACGAATCGCTTGAACACAGGAAGGTGCCGGTTTCGCAAAATTCTCAAAGTAAAAAAATGTTCATCCTGTGGTTCTGTTACCCTAGGGCGTCCAAAACCGGGCCTTTTTTGGTTAAGACCCAATTTTTCGAAAACATGTAACGGCGTCTAGCAGAATTTCGTAGGGAACTCAATAGCCGCATACCTGATGGAACGTCCATCATCAATAAGTGCCACACCACGCGCTACATTCTCAGCTCTAAGTGGCACTTTAAGTTTAAAAATTGAAATTAAGAAAACAAAGATGAAAACTAAACAGTCTGTTGCTTCAGAATTCAAATGAGACTGAATAAACATTTTAAATCCCGTAAAATGTAACCATGGAAAAACCCTTGTTATCCTTATTTTGGATTAAGGATTAAGCGCGTTTACCATAATTTAAAACATATTATAAACAAATATTTACTGGTAAAAATAATGAGACAAAATAAGGGCAAAATTTTCTTTTTCCCAGAAAATGAAAAAAAATCAATTAGATGGAATTTTTGCCTATCAGTGTATAAGAAATAACTGGCACCACAATGTCGATATCTTCTCATATAAAATGAAAAAAGAAAAAAAAATTAAAGTAAAAGATAAACTATACAGTAGTTAGGAAGTTTCTTTTCTAGCCCGATCTTTCTATTCTCCTTGCTTCCATCTATCCCCAACTTTTCGATATTTTACCATCTTTTGCAATGTGTTTTATAATTAAATTTAACGTTTTTTAAAATAAACCTAACAGCACAGACGAGTTAAGAATTGTGCAAAAAATGAGCGTACATGAAAATCCAGAAATTTGTAGCTTACCTCAGTCCCTTGTACTTTCAGCTTCATGTGGTCTTCCCTGGTCGTTTTGCCGTCTTTTCTTTTCTTCCAACAGTAGCCGTCTCTTCTGTATCTCACTTTTTTCCTACTATAGAGAAGCATGGATCCGCTTTTCGGCCTGAAATCAAAAAATAAAAGACCTTAAAAATTCGATACGTGCTATTTTCACCAGGGTGGAGTTTTCATCGGCAAAAAGTTACGACTTAATTTCCAGGGGAAATGAGTCCTTTAAATCTAAAAGGGGATGGAAGAAAAGTCTTATCTCGCATAATCGGGCTGCATGAGAGGGCGGACGTCTGAATCTGATGGCCGGCAGGATTCAGACAAGAAAACAAATTCAAGCGAGGAATAAGAGGGAAGCCGGATGAACATTTTTTTGCCCTTCAATTTCCCTTTTATTTAATTCGGCACAGGAGGAAAACGGCTCAACAGAAGAAAAAAAAATGGAAGAACCTTTTATTCCCCTCCCAGAGACCCTTGTCTTAATTTGTTGAACGAGCAAATTACATAGTAAGGAAGAAAATCGCCTTTCAATTACAGTAAAATTTTCTTAAGGACCGCCAGGGAACGACTAAAATGGAAAAAACAACGAATAATCAGAGGGATGAACAGCTTTTATTTACAATTATACAAATAATACACCTAACTCAATATTTTCACTGGATATGATTTTATAATTATAAAAAGATAATTGATGTTTATACTGTGATAAATCAGTGTGACGTGGATTAAACAAAATCCTCACTGATGTATAAAAGACATATAAAAAGTAGCTGATATTGCACTTTAATTATTACCCTATAATTAGGTAATATATATAATGAAAAAATGATCTAATTGTTTACATCGAAATGAAATCGTATTGATCACTTTTTTTTTAGAAATTATTTTAATCTTCAACAACGCAATGGTCTTTCTTATTGTATCTAAATAATTAAACATGTCTGAGGCCTAGTGGTTCATAATTTGGATGTACTCAGTGAGTGATACAAAATTAATTATATTCCTGAGTTTCCTTTATTAATCTGTTAGTTAGTCTGTTAAATATTTGTTTTAATATTTTTAAAAAAGTACACTTAGCTCCTGTTTATATTATTAACTTCACTAATTTCGTGGTCCGCTTGACCAATTAATATATTACAATTAATTAAATATATTATTAATTAATTGTAATATATTAATTGGTCAAGTGGACCACGAAATTAGTGAATTTAATGAATTTAAATGAAGTATACTTCACTAAAGCCCTCCGTGGCCATTTCATTTGTCGCCGAGAATCCAACCCGATTACACGATATTTGAAAAATGGCAAAAAGGAGGGAAAACTCAAAAGGTGGGATTGAGATGGGAAGTTGATGTCCGAGTGGATAGAGGTCACGATAGCTCAGGTGGTAGAGCAGCGGCGTATCTAGCCGAAGATCGTGGGTTCGAATCCCGCTCGTGCCATTGACTTTTTTATCTCAACTAAAAACCTTAATTAATTGTAATATATTATTAAACTTTACACAGATCCGGCGGGGAGAGTGAAAAACTTTATATGTGTCTTCTTGTTTTTTTATTTGTGTTTTGACACATGAGGTAACAACGGGGCAAAAGATGTTAAGAAAAGGCGGGATAAAATTTGTAAGAGTCGGTGAGAAATAAAAATACCAGGACGCCTATAAATATTGAAGAGTTCTCACAAGGGAAGGATGTGGAATGATTTTCGTCACAATCAATTTTTAAGGTTTTCTGAATTTTTTGTGTGTTTTTAAGCAGTGTAAGAAAATAATATGCAGGATCATATAAAATGAGCTTGGATGTATAAAATGGGGCTCCCAAACTGTAGTATGCGGACTCTCGGGGGGGGGGGTCCGCAGTAAACTTCGGGAAGAATTAATAAAAACAAAAATGGCGTAGAATGAATACAAAAAATTGAGAAAATAATAATAATAGCAACTCCTTAAATTCATTAGAGTTCGTGGTCCGATTGACCGAATAACGTTTTTTAATTAATTAATTTTTATGTAAGGTATTGGTTGAGATAAAAAATGTCAGTGTCATGAGCTAGATTCGAACCGAATTTAGCCGAGGGTTGTGGGTTCGAATCCCGCTCGTGACACTGACTTTTTTATCTCAATCAATACCTTACATAAAGATTAATTAATTGAAAAACGTTATTCGGTCAATCGGACCACGAACTCTAATGAATTTAATAAGTAAAATGAAGTATATCTTCACGAAAGCTCTCCGTGGCCATCTCATTTGTCACCCAGAATCAAATAGATTAAATGACATTTGAAAAATGGCGAAAAGGAGGGAAAATTCGAGAGGTGGGTTGAGATGGGAAGTTGGTGTCCGAGTGGATCGAAGTCACGATAGCTCAAGTGGTAGAACAGCGGCGTATCAAACCGAAGGCCGTGGGTTCGAATCCCACTTGTGACACTGCCTTTTTATTCACTCAACCAATACCTTACATAAAGATTAATTAATAATAACGACGAGTACCGAACACGAAAATTTTTTAAATTTTCATTTATTCATGTATGAGACCGACTGGTCGGTCGATCGGTAAACAACCTGGATTTTCCAATGTTGCTGATAATTTGTTCATTTAGTGCCAGTTTTATAGGTGTGTTTCGGTTTTAGTGTAAGTCAATTGTTTCTTACTTTGCTAATTTTCTTCTTTATATTTTATTATTTTAGACTACGTCAAAAGAGTTTATTTTGATGTGGATAAGTAAGAAATATAAGAATGAAGTTTACAAAAACTTCTCAGACATTTTATTTTAAATATCTGGTACTAATTTATTTACGGAAGCCAAATTTTCGCCATTATTAAGAAAGTTCCTGTGAATCGGTTGGTGGGTTCGTTTCTAATTTATCTTTTTTTTTCTGAAAATATCAAAGGCATTTGGATAGAAAAAAATTGATAGTTTTTTAATCTTATTTTTTCACTCAAATTTGTATTTAGGAGTTTAAAACTTTGTTTCATGATTTAAAAAAAATCTTTTAACCTACTTTGCGTTGTCATTGTTAATAGTCAAAATTATATTTTGTAGCCAGCTATAGAATGGATATTGCTCATACAATATTAGCAGTGTACTTACATTCTTCCTTAAGGAGAAATTCGCGTGGTCTTTAGCGCTTCAGGTGTCTTAGGAGATTTTCCGGATAGGTTCGGGGAAAAAGATGATTGACTAGGGGGTTGGTATACGGGACCTGGGTTTTATGAAAGTGTCTATACCGACTTGTATTTCTAGGACAAATAGGATTTGATGGTTTGTTTGGACAATAAGGTTGGATACGAAGTTGGGGGTGTGGGGTGACTGGGCCGACTGGATTCTCTGGACGTTGGAACGCATAATTGAATAGTTCGAATTTCGTATGTCCAAATTGGCCGTAGAAACGATGGGAAGATGAGGTGTTAGTAGTAGTCTTTTGAGCATTTTATAGCGTCTTTCAGTTTTATTCTTTTGTGTCGAATGGTGGTTCCAAGTAAAGCTTGTCAGATAAAAGCTCGGTATAAGCGGACATACAGTGACTCACAGATTCGTTCACAGCTGTTGGTTATATCATTATTTACTTTACAAAACAATTGTAGGACATCAAATAAACGTAGTTTTTTAAATAATTTTATTTATCTTAACACAAAAAACATCAAAAAAATTAAATTGTTACTTTATCATGATTATTAAAATAATATAAAAGAAATTACCATGTGCGAACGATAATATGATTGTGTCATACGAAGTCCTTTAATATTTTGTATGTCCTCCTTTGGCTTTCAAAACTGCATCAGTACTTCTGGGCATACTTCTCACGAGATTTCTGTACTGTTCTGGATCAATTAGGTCCCATTCAACTAGTGTTTTTTCCCAAAGTTGATCGAAGTTTGAAGCGTCTCCTGCAGCATCGGCTAAAGATTTTTTAGTTTTCCCCACAAGTGCTCAATTGGATTAAGGTTAGGTGGGGGCCATTCCATGACATTAAAACCACGATCGGCAAGCCACTGTTTGGTCAGCTATGGTTTCTTCACTTTTCCCGTCGCTCTTCCGGCCTCACGTAAACATCTCCGTTTGTTTCAGCACTGACATCGATATTATCATTATCCCGCGGCCTACGCTGAATTTGGACAGCAATGTCAACCTGTCCTGATCGAACGGAGCGTAGATACAACGCCTTTTGGCCTCGGAAAATTTTGTTTTATGACCACTCCTCTTCTTTTTAAAACAACTATCGTAAATTCGGGAAGATCTTTTAGGTTTTGTTATTACCCCAATAATAACGATATTTTTTTGAAATTTCACGATAAGGAAGTCCTTCTTGTAGAGATTTTATTATTTGATCTTTCAAAAATGTTGAAAATGGCTTCATACTGTAATTAAACGGAATAGATCATAACCATTAAGGAAAGGAAATATTTTTAATAAGAAAATAACTTAATTGATGATACCTGATAAATTTGAGACGAATTATTGAATGGTTTTTGCGAAATTTACAATGAAGTAACCCGAGTCACAAAACTGTTCACACGAAGACTCGTAATAAACTGGCTCAATTCAAAGGTATAAACATAAATAAAGATTATTAGGGTGAATGTTTGTTTACCAACAGTTCAACGAACTCAATCCTATTGTTGTCTGGATTAAACAATACGGGATTTGCAAACTAGAGATAATAGAAAATTGTTTACTGATGTGAATAAATATGTGAGTCACTGTACGTTGCTGGAGTGAAACAGAGCTGTAAGAAAATTGAGAAAGGTCATGATATATCTGCATTTCTTGAACCAAGAAGAGAGATAGTCCTGGAGGGTTTTGAAGGCCAAGGTCTAAGCTTGCTGATCGTGGTATCGTCTGAACATGGGAGGAGTACTGCAGCAGGTTTGATAGAAATGTCTGTAGTGTGTAATGAATAGATAAGACCAAGAATGCTGCTTTGCTACCAAGTTTGCCGTCGCATAATTCAAAGATTTTCCTTTCTATAGTAAAATGATTACAAAAAACATGATAAATAAATGAAAAGTACAATGAGCTCTATATTTAACTCTAACTCTACATTTTCGTTTTTATAATATATTAATGTAAATCATCAGCTAACCTTTTACATGCAATATTAACATTACCAAATATACAT